AAATGGTAATAATTTTATAATGTTTATATCTATACATGGGTCCCGAGTATTTACCATTAAAAGGCATTACAGCCATGCACTTCATCTACGCTTAATCAGTACTATTCAACCGGCGAACATGTCCGGAGAGTGAAGACTGTCACGGGAGTGAGAAGCGTCTCCATCAGGACTGGGGAGGTAGCGATCATCAGCTCAGGGAAGGGAGAATGGCTGTGGAGGTTTGGTGACGACGAGTAGCTGGTCTCCATCAAGGAGGCTGGCGATTTGCAGTCCGGTGATGATGATGTTGGAGAGGGTAGGTAGCTTGGGCTGACAGAGGGCCTGACGGGAAGAGGTAGCTGGCAAAGCAAAGGAGATGCTGGCTGATGATCGCCCATCTGGTAACCTGGAAATACAAAACAAAAATACTATCATACTTCGGATGAATTTTGAAAACGCAGAACGTTAGACAGAACCGTAATGCAAAATTTTGATTCCCCAATTTTGCATCCTTTGACGCTTAAAACAACATCACTGAGATGAACACTTAATGAGAGTTAAATTGGAAACAAAATAAGATACATCAGGTTGGCAGTACAATACTAAAGTGGCAAAAAAGATTTGAGAATGATGCAAAATTCCACAACTGAAGCCTTCTTTAGGGAGCTGAACATTAAATCTATACATTAAAAAAATGGCACTCACCTAAATCATGTACACCTCGGATCACCTGCTCCAGATCTAAGAGAGCGAGAGAGAAGTCATCTCTGACATTCTCTGCCTCATCATCGGTGTCGTCACGTCCCGGAGACTGAGTACCGTCACTGCCCAGGTCGTGCGGCATCTCAGGGAAGTATCCGCCGTAGTGACACGGCCAATCATCGGGCCCACAGTCGGATAATGATGAAACCTCTTCGTCGTAGGACTGGCGACTAAACCATACCAACTCAGGGGACAGGTTCAAAGCGCAAGAGATCTTGAAATCCATGGTATAGGGACTCGGAGATGTAAGATAAAAAGTTAGTTTGCAATCCTATGATTTAAAATTGAGGGATAAAGTTAATGAACTGTTTCAAGCTATACATGAACATGTACTGCTTCCTCTCTCTCTTTTTGAGGCGGGGCTTGGGCTTGGATACACCTGAGGTCTCGCAATTAACTTTGTCGATTATCTTGCATCGCCTCAAGTTATTACATTACAGACAACTATTTTCAAACAATTTAAAAATAAGCAATTTGTTTTAACACAAAGAGGGAGGGTTTGCTCCGATGGACCATGGGAGATACCATTTTGCTTCTGCTGCCACATAAAGCTGTGGGGAAAACAGTTTATATAAAAAGATGATCCCGTGGTCCATCGTAGGAAACGGCAAGAGACTGACTGTTCCCCAAACAAAAGTTGCGTTATACATCCTCAGACCAGCGAACAAGGGGAAGTTACACTGATGGAAGGCTCAGAAATTTTCTTGGAAAGGGTGTACATTCATAATGGAGTGAGGGGAAAGAGAAAGATATACAGCAAGGGGCGTCGGTAGGAAAATTACCCTTTTACGCGAGTATTTGGTTGATTTTGACATTATTAGCAACGAATCGTGAGAAGATGGCCCAGTGGGGAAAAACATGAAAATTATGTAATGTTTGGCAATGGTTGTACCATCGAGAACACTTCTCTTGCGTTATTTCTTAAATGTTATCTTGCGTATGTCTGACCGAACACTTACATGCAAAGTACGTTTTCAATGCAAACCTTGAAAATACATCTTTGGTACTTGGTACTTGGTTGGTGGTCCTCCGAAATATTCCATCTAGAAAATTTAAACTGGAGGTGTGGCACCAGGGTTTACAAGGTGCTGCGGCCACTGCCAGAAACACCGGGGCGAACCCCTTCTCCTAGCGAGAAGTGTTTCTGGGTTCTTTAACGTGCATTACACAACACACGGGACCTACGGCTTTACGTCATATCCGAAGGACGAATCAATAGTGGTAAAGTGCCTTGCTCAAGAGCACAAGCACCATGTTCCCACGGCCAGGATTCGAACCCTTGTATCACGGCAGACGAGTCGACCACCGTAACCATTGGACCACAGTACCCCTCTTTGTGTCATATTTAACCTTATTTGCAAGTTTTATTTTCCATTTTGAGGGGTGTTTTTATGCCTTCTCCGTTTTTATGCTAATGCAATAATTCATATTCATTAGAAAACCTGTGATGGTTTTCCGGGCATGATTAATGTTACATGGCTATTGCAGCGAAAAAAGTTGCTACAATTTTGGATATTTTGCTTTCATAAATGTCTTTTATTTTGTGATTCTATGATACATGGCAGTAAGCCAATGAGCAACCCTTTCCCACAAATGTTTTCAATTAGCAAACTTTGGATGAATAATTTGAAAGAAAAACCCCTAAACTGAACAGTGTCTTCCTGAAATGACATCACAGTAACAGCGCGTTCATACGTAGTCCGGAAAAGCATTTAAACTGAGAAGTGCACTTTTGCAAAAAGATTAACCAAAGCAATGTTTTCAAATGTGTAGTTTTCTTACATTTCATAGTACAATGTAGTAAAGAGTTGCACAAAAGAATTCCTGAGAAAAGTTCATTGCACATACCCTTTAATTAAGAAAGAAAGGCATCTACAGATTTAAGACATCAAATATGATTTAGGCTAAGGATCATGCGGACACGTATTAAGTCTTAAAAGATGTTTGACAAAATGTGAAATATGTTTGCCCATTTAATAATTAAAATGAATGCCCGATCAACCCTCACTGCTGGTTCAGACGAAATTGAATGAACAACGCGATACATTTAATATGAATGCATCTTTGATAGGAACGAGTGAAGCTAAAAGGCGATAGAATGCTCGGATAGTGAAATTGAATGGTTCTTTTTGATTGTCGAATGCTGATCTAATTAATCTTTCAATTTCAATCTAAATCGAATAAGCCAGGCGTTAAATTTAATGAAAACTTATTGAAATTGGCCGGGAAAAGTTATATAATTTTGTGCACTCATAGAACAGCTGTACTATTTAATTCAACCTTGTTTTGGATAAAATACAGCATTTGAAAAGGTGAGGTCAAAAAAGAAACAGAATATCGTTTTGTAAACAGACTTGGCTATACTGCGTTTATTTGTTAACTACCTAATTAAAAAAAGCCATGATGCCATATATAATAAAGTATAGGTTTTCCCAGCCAATTTCCTAAAATGTTCATTCACTTCTGAAAATCGGTCATTCACTTTCGTCTGATTTGAATGCATCCCATTTCAATTCAACGAAAGTTCAATCGTTTTCATTGTCTGTGCATTTCGGTTTTGAGAAACAGACGACCAATTACGTTACCTGCGCATTCATTTACGCAAGCATACCTTTTCTTAATTGATTTCAGGTACAGCTAATTTGATCGACGGTTAATGAAAAAGAAACCCCTAATTGTATCTGCTGCCGAAGGCATTAAACTAAAAGTGAAATAGAATGGTGAATGTTTGAAATCGCCCCCTAAAAGTGAAAAAGAAGTCTTGTAAACGAATCTGAATGGACATCCATGGGCGTCGCCAGGATTTTTTTCTAGAGGGGGGCAAAGGCAAGTGCCCCCCCCCCCTCGCCCCCCCCCCCCTCGCGACGCCCATGTGGACATCAACGAAAGGTGCTGCTCAATCACTTAAATGATTGAATTGAATTGGAATCGAATGCTCTAGTAACGAAAACAAAACGCGTGTTTAGACCGATTCTCACATTCAGATGAAAATGAGTGACCGATTTTCAGAAGTGAATGAACATTTTAGGAAATTGGCTCGGAAACCTATAATAAAACATATGGAATTTCTCGTTCCGTAGTATACAATGCACTTTGATGTTTACCGTGATAAAGGCAGGAATTATAGGTGATTATACATGGAGTGATCAAAGTTTCTCCAAATACAGCAGTGCTTAAATACACAGAACATTGAAGCAAGGAACAAAAGGTCACAGCTGATAGTGGCTCGGATTCACAATCTCATGCCACTATGTGCCCTACCGACATTTATATGCAGTAAGACATACACATTACATGTTTGTCATTATTAAAATAGGTTGGGGTAGATCTTTTGGCAATGATGTCCATTCCTCTTAGAGGTATGAACATAATAATACTAGAGAACATTTATATAGCGCCAAAATCCGTCTAAAAAAGACGCTCAATGCGCTTTACAAGTTTGAAAAATAAACTAATAGTATAGCATTATATATATATTAAAAAAAGAGTAACTGTAACGTTAAAGTGTTTGAAAAAGTCGATACAAGGAATAAAAATGTCAAAGATAAAAATAGTAAGATAGAAAAACTTAATATACGCACAATCCAAAAAATATAAAAGTATCCAAAAATTACACACATTATATACACATACAAATATTATACACATACAAATTACCAACCCACAGAGACATTGACCGAAAGAATTGAAAATATAGCAGGACCCCCAATATATATGCACCCCCTTTAAAAACAAAGAAAAACTGAAATGTTTAAACTGAAAAACATAAAATTGATATATTGTATAAAATATACAATTTGCCAATAAAAACAACTGGACACATAATGAGACACTTAACTCTGGTTGGACAATAAAAGTGCCTTTTTTCTCAATCTTACATGGGTCATTTAATTCCTGACAACCAAGGTCGCCTATATTCAATTCTGTGATGTCACTTTTAATTAATGAAACATTTGAGAGTTTCTGGGATTTCTCTACAATTATAAACCAAACTTAAGACAATCACTAGTGCGCCGGGTATTATGGAATCCTTGATTCCATATACATGTGTGTGGCTTTCCTGGAATCCTGCAGTCTGTCGGGTGTGAGAAACCTTCACACATGTGATTTCATCTGTGTGCCGACAGGAACTTCATCGGTTGCCAAGATCGGTTAGACCGTAGTTACCGAATTTCTCTTTCTTACAGCTGTGGGTGGCTAGATCGGTGACGTTTAGCTGTTCCCTTTTTTTAACCTAGAAAACGCCTGTTTCACCCTTTTCACGGGGATCTATATCCTGCAAGCGCTGCCGCAATTTCGTTGTGAAGTGTCCGTATTCGTTCAGGCTTGAGCCCGTGATGGAGCAACTCGACATCGTAAGTTGAACCAGCAGGTCTGGCAGCAATAGCTCTATCAATGAAGGCATCTACTGTAGAATTCAGCATTCTTGGAATCTTGGATTTATCGGGTGTAAGTAACCCTTCACATATGTGAGTGCATATGTGTACCGAGAAGAACTTGATCATGCCGTACACTCCGAGATCGGTTCGACCGTAGTAGCCGAATTTCCCCTCCTCACAACTGTGGATGGCTGGATCGGTGAACGTGTAGCGGCTCCCTTTTTGAACCCCTTTTAAGTTCGTAACGAGGAACGCACCGTTAGACTGATGGTAGGTGAAGTGGCAAAATGCTGATGGTAGTTTTGTTGGCTCCAAGACATGGGAAGAATTGCTCAGAAACCAGGAGTAGTCATGAAGGTAACGTTCGATGATTAATGGCGCACCTTCGTAGACGGTACACTTGACCGGGGGACGAACCTTTTTAACGGTGGTAAAGCCAGGATAAGGAAAGCTGATCATTTCGTGGCTTCGTCCGGATTCATTAAACTGCTGGGCCATCTTCATTGCAATTTCTATGCGAGCTTTTGGCTGCCAATTATATTCGTTCACATTATCCTTCCGCCTTTTTGTGCACATTCTCACAACGCAATTCTTGCCACTTTGGAACCGGTGGCTATCGATGGGCTTTATTATTCCCCGGAAGGTGCATCTGGATTCTCCTTCTGAAATCAAGTCGTCTTCGTTGAATCTTGCGCACACCTGTCTTCCATTGAAGGAAAACTGTTCAGATTTATGGCTTTGAGCGTTACCCATCCTCTGTATGGTTCCTTTATCTGCGGATAAGATTGAAATGCATTTCATTTTACTCTGCGATTTCGTACTGAAAAATGTTTTGCTTGACGAATCCTGGCGCGTGAATACTGTACAACATGAGGCTCCCTTCAATAGAGACACCAGTATGCCAGTTATCGTACAAAACAAGTGCCTTATGCATATGACGGATTATCTAAACAATAGTTAGTGCAATGCTTTTGCCATCGAAGGGGGGGGGGCCTCTGTGATAGAATTGATAGCGTGTTCGGATTGCTACTATTTCTTGACTGAATCGCTGACTCACCAACTCATACTGCATGCTAACCAGAAATATCCAATAGGATTACCGCGTAACTCTAATAGATGTGCTAAATCCGGCCTTTACGCAATGCGTGTGCATACAAATTTAAAGACTGGCAGTGAATAGCTAGCCATTCAGATTCGATTCAATATATTTTGTTTCGTGCCCACTGGGACAAGCTCTATGTTCCATAAGAGATCGAATTCTCTGACTCATACAAATTAATGATACTTACATGACTTCCAAAAAAGGCACTGCCAACGCTGATGTAGTGTCGAGTCGGCTCTGTCAACCTTGTAGCCCAATGAAACCCCAAACTGGATTTTTGGTTTCTAACATTAAAGCTATGACGTCATGATATAGCGGGAAATTTCTGATAATTAACGAGGGCGCCGTCAAGCCCATCGCACACGAGAGGTATACGTGCTGAGCAAAAGTCATTCGAGGCCGTACGGTTTGCTCAGCATGTAGCTAACAAAATATGCCAGTGGAAAGAAGATGCTAGGTAACCATTATAATTAATTCTTGTTAGCACAAAGACGTATAACTGTATAACTCGTTTTAAGACCATAAGTTCACTGATATATCTTTGAAGTGACGTAATTAACATACAAGACAAATGTTTCACTTATGTGCATTTACACAAGTGCCCCTTTCGCGGACATAAATGTGCCCCCTCCAGCATAATATAATGTGCCCCTCGAGATGAAAAAAAAAACCTGGCTCAAAAATTTCGGATATGTTGTTGTCAGTAACCATTTCCCAAAATGATAAAGAGATTTCGGATGTGAACGAGGAATATGAAAACCAAGCCCCAGAACTTTTACAATGCGCCCTTCCAATCGTGGACCCAATTTGGAAAGTCGAATTACTGTTGCAACCAAAAAGAAAACTTATTACATATTCCAACATTAGGCCTATATCATTTACAAAATGAAAATGGTAATAATTTAGTGATGTTTATATCTACATGGGTTCCAAATATGTACAAATAAAAGGCATTACAGCCTTGTTGGTCTCCATCAAGGAGGCTGGCGAGTTGCAGTCCGGCGATGATAATGTTGGAGAGGGCAGATGGCTTGGGCTGACAGAGGGCCTGACGGGAAGAGGTAGCTGGCAACGCACAGGAGATGCTGGCTGATGATCGTCCAACTGGTCACCTGAAAATACCAACCAAAAATATAAATACATCGTATCATACTTTGGATGAATCTAAAAAAACCCCACAGAATACAGGACAGTATAGTGCCTAACGATTCCACAATTTTGCATCCTTTTGTCGCTTTAAGCAACATTACTGAGCTGAAAACTTAATGAGAATGCAGTACAGTACGGATTTGGGAGAAAAAAATAAGATACATCAGGTTTGCAGTACAATATATACTAGAAAAGGGCAAAGTATAAGGCAAAGTGATGACATGCGACGTGCAATTAACTAATCCTCATTATGCTCGAGACTAGCCAATGATAATGTTTGTTCTGAGATGCGGTAAAAGCACTAGCCAATCAGGCGTAAAGGGACCGCGTGCATCCATTATGGAAATGTGTCATTCACGAGGGTAGGTAAGGGGAGGGACAGCCCCCAATTTTTGCGTGTGACTCGTCACAACCCTTTTTAGGTCAGTTTTATTCGGTCTTGAATTCATGTTTTATCCACGAACATGTAGTTACTGAAGTCCAAACGAACATATCATTCGTGATAAAGATTTTTTTGGTTTAAAAGTTACTTGTCTATTCTGGTTTACTCTTAAATTCTTTGAAACTAGTTGCTATATAATAACTTTAGAACGAAAATGCGCTGCCCTGCGGTAACCAACCAATTAATTGCATACCCACAGGTACCCCCTTCCCAATAACCCCCCCCCCCCCAATAATAATAAATAAGAGAGAACGGTCGTATACAGCTTGAAACATTTTGGTAACTGTACCCCTCCATTTTGCAGTATATGATAGCAACTAACTTTTTTATCTTAGTTTGCACAAATGTGATTACATCATGACGAAAAACAAAAAGAAACAAACATTTTTTTAAAAAACTGTTTTCTTTTTTATTTTAATATTCACAAAATCGTATTATTAATATAATTTACATTCACATTTTTTAAGACAATTGCATTGTTGTAGTAATTATCTTTCTGTTGCGAATTAAAATCGTGGACCAAAGTTCGAAAGTTTAGTAAATTTCGCAACCAAAAAGAAAACTTTAAGCCATAATTAAGCCTATATCATTTACAAAATGAAAATGGTAATAATTCTATAATGTTTATACATGAGTCCCACATATTTACAATTAAAAGGCATTATACACCCATTCAACCGGTGAAAATGTCTGGAGAGCGGAGACTGTCACGGGAGTGAGAAGCGTCTCCATCAGAACTGGGGAGGTAGCGATCATCAGCTCAGGGAAGGAAGAAGGGCTGTGGAGGTTCGGTGACGACGAGTAGCTGGTCTCCATCAAGGAGGCTGGCGAGTTGCAGTCCGGTGATGAGGATGTTGGAGAGGGTAGGTAGCTTGGGCTGACGGAGGGCCTGACGGGAAGAGGTAGCTGGCAATGCCCAGAAGCTGCTGGCTGATGATCGTCCTTCTGGTCACCTGAAAATACCCAAAAAGTAAATACTATAATACTTTGGATGAATTTTGAAAACGCAGAACATTAGACAGGACAGAAATGCCAGACATTGGTTCCACAATTCTGCATCCTTTTGGCGACTAAACCGACATCACTGAGCTGAAAACTTTATAAGAATGAAATGCAGTACGATATTGGAAAAAAAACCCGAAGATACATTAAGGTCGCAGTACAATACAAGCATTGCCACAAATGTAGAGAATGATCCAAGATTCCACAACTTAGACCTTCTTCAGGGAGCTGTAAATTAAAATACAAAACTGTATTTAAAAATGGCACTCACCTAAATCATGTTCATCTCGGATCACCTGCTCCAGATTGAAGAGACGGAGAGAGAAGTCATCTCTGACATTCTCTGCCTCATCATCGGTGTCGTCACGTCCCGGAGACTGAGTACCATCACTGCCCAGGTCGTGCGGCATTTCAGGGAAGTATCCGCCGTAGTGACACGGCCAACCATCGGGCCCACAGTCGGATGATGCTGATAACTCTTCGTCGTAAGACTGACGACTAAACCATACCAACTCAGGGGACAGGTTCAAAGCGCAGGCGATCTTGAAATCCATGGTATTTCGGATTGATAAACTTGAAGAACAAGGGAATAGAGCAGAATACTGTTTGAGCTGTCTTCACAGATGAGAATCTGAATCGAATGACAAGTTAACAAGATTGACTGGGCTTTTATCTCATCTCGTAACAATTGTTGTCAATCACAAGGCTTGTGTAACGTAATCAGGACTAATTGAGAAAAGTAAACCAAAGTACCGCCTCTCATTTGTACCTGTACCCGCTGGTTGGTGAGCGGCAACACATACGCCTACCACTCGGCGCGCGATGAAAGGATCATGCGGTTAGCGGAAGCTTCACAGGGCGGTACGAGGCCGTCGGACTTATGGTGCGTGGGGTTCACTAATTGGGCAGAACATTTAAAGTTGAATTGAAAAACCCAACCTCAAAATGCTGAATTCTTACCGTGAATTCAAAGAAGATAGGCTTTGATACTCTTCAGCCAAACTGGCTTTTTTAATTAAAGGTCGACACAAATCCATTTAAGAGGAACTATGGGGCCGACAAAGTTGTCATCAAACTCAAAAGGCTTGTTTTGTGCGACTTATATTAGGTGATAATCTTGAACACTTTGTTTGCCAGTTGGAAGCATGTTAGTAATAAGCCAGATTTGTGATAAAAAGGATATAAACTCAAAATTATACATGGAATGCACGTGCTAAATAAGGGCGTTCTTATATTATTTTTTTCTTTTTCAAAGCTTATCACGTTCCTATGGTTAAGCACTGACTCTAAGTACAAAGTATAATATCCCTCCCTATAATTATAGGGAAATCCTGTTTAGTTTAGGGAAAAAGTCTAATTTTCTGTGCTGTTATTACCAAATAATATAGTCCGCTTTTAATCAGTCTTAAATGTATTTAGAACTCGCATATATACTGAAATCCGTGCGTTCATCTTCGGGAGTAAAAGGTCTTGAAATCCATGGTCTATTGGCACAACACTATTGCGTTCTTAAAATAAATGTTTTTTTTTAAAAAGTAACTTGAAAAAAAAAAAAATCCAAGACGTATCAGACAAAAGACATAAAGAGTTATGAGTTTCTGAAAAGAACCTAGGGACAAACGTTGAATATTTTTCCCTCGGTTCTTTTCAGAACCTCACAAACTCGAGAAGGAGATTGTCACCGTAAATCTGTATGTCTTTTGACTGACGTAAAAAAAGTCATCTTGGACCTTCATGCAAACCTCAAATTTGACCAAAAGTCATAATAACTTGAGATATTACGCAAGTCGTATCAATAAAAAAGACATTAGCTCGCAACTTGGGCCCATCTTAATTATCGATGTCTACTTAAGTTGTACCTCAGGTGGCGTATCTAGTAATTTGGAGGACGTTTTGAGGGTGAAATCTGATGTTTTTGTTGGGCAATGTTTCACGGCGCTGCTTAGCACAAAAATTTGCTTAGCACAAAAAAGTCTGGCCGCAAAACAGGTTATCAGCCAAAACTCCATGTGATTTTCATGCTAAGTAAACAAAAGCTGGATACTAATCACGAGCAATATATACCACGTGGAGTTTTGGCTGGTAACCTGCTTATATAAGACATACTTTTTGTGCTAAGCAAATTGTTGTGCTTAGCAGCGCCGTGAAATTGGGCCCTGATCAACCGTGTGTGACCCTACCCAGATCAAAGGCAAAGTGATGACATTCGACGTGCAATTAACCAATCATCATTATACTAGAGAATAGCCAATCAAAATGTTTGCTCTGAGATGCGGTAAAAGCACTAGCCAATCAGGCGTAAAAATACTGCGTGCATGCATCCACTACAGATATGCGTCATTAACGAGGGTGGTAAGGGGAGGGACCAACCTCGTACCCAGTGCTTACTTTATTTCCAACCGTGTTTCCAATAGTAAACCCTGGATAGGAAACTTTCTTCCTGTATCCTGATTGGATACCGCAATTGGCTAGTAATGGATTTTTATCGTGTACTTGGTGCTATATATTCACAACGTGCAGTACGTGTTTTCGCGATCATTCGTCCACGCCTTCTCGAAAATACTAATTTCCTTTCCAATTTGCTCATATTAATATGAAATATGATACTGCATGTTGTCTCGATAAGACCGTAACAGTTTGATTTCAAAAATAGTGTTTTCGTAACTCACGCCGTGCTCGCGCTGCTACGAATTGACTCTGTTTTTACCACAGACACCGCATACAAAAACAAACGCTAATGTGTAACGCATATCCAGGCACCAGACTGTTCCTCATTTGCATACGTGTGCAAAAATCTTGCACATGCAAATGATCCAATACCAGGGTGAGAGAGCAGGTAGTGGTGGGCGCGTACTGCTCGACACCCTGGGGACGAGATTGGGGAGGGACAGCCTCCAATTTGTGTGCGTGACACGTCACAACCTTTTTTTTACATCCAAACCTCGCGCCTGGTAAAACAATGAAGTACTCCGAAATGAATTTACAGTGTTATAACATACATGAAGTCCTACGGTCGGTGAAGGGCAAACACAATTATTGAATTTACATCACCCCGACGCATATCCATCTTATGAATATTTTACCCCATTTTGCTTATTTCTACATTAATTGTTTCACTTTTTTGTTTTCGATATATGCCACAACAGATTATTTTTGTTCGTCTCTATTTTCTTTCGTTAATAAGGCCCTAATTTTCCTTGATTCTGATTACTGAGCGCATTGTGAAGCCGCGCGCGCTAGCAGAGTACAACAAGTCAAGAGAGGGCGCACTTTAACTTTGGCATAGCAACAGACAACAAGATGGCGGAAACAGCGTCAGCGGCGATGAGGAAAGAAGCACTGGACCCGGCTTATTTGACTTGGTCTAGCCAGCAAGTGGCGGACTGGATGGCAGATCTGGGTTATCCACAATATAGGGTATGTTAGGTAGTCAAGCTAAGCTAAGCCTGTGTAAAATGCCACTTTTGTAATGGCTAAAATGCGAACGATTTCGAATGTTGAATATCGGACTTATGCATTTTGTCATGTGTATGTATAGCTCTACTGAGTGGAGCGTTGAATTACGGGTAGCCTACCCCTCCATACCAACGCTCCACCAATTTGCCATACTTTGGTGACACCGTCACAGTAGCATAGTCACAAACCCACGCGAGGACAAAAAGACCCCCCAAAAACGGTAAAGAGAATACAAATGAGAGAGACAGTTATCCTGGATTGATCTATGCCTACATTCTTGACATTCCATGAGACCCCTTATATTGTTCCCAAACAGCGAAAAATTTGAAAAAAACACAGCAAAATAGTCTGAAAACTTACAGCTCAATGTGTTTGCAGGGAGGCTCAGTTCTTGAATCGACTTGTCGAATGAGGTCGTCTGACGTGACGTCACCGTCGTTGCTCGATCGCGAAGAAAAACAAGTCGCGCTTTATCATCAACGACTGTTTCGTGTAATAATACGTGCTCCGATCCGCGCCACGCAGTACGACAGTATGGGCTTTGAACACACCCAAGGAGCATTCGATGTTAAATCGAAATAACTTGGAGAGTCACTGGTATTTGAAAATGTGCCAAAAACTGAACGTATGTTTTTGCTACCCCTAGAACTATGAGGCTCTGCAGCTGTAAGGACTAAACAAAAGAGGGGCCCATAACTTCGCTTACTTGCCTACATAACAGAAAGTAAAGAAGTCGTGATGATCTAAGTCTATAAAAGGTCTGTCTATACTGACTTTAATTTATAGTTAGTCCTCTATGTTGAAAATCTTTTTAAAACCTTCTTGACTGGCACCATTTTTTCTTGTGTTTTATTGTCACATCATGCCTTTTTAATATCTTTCCAATGCAGGAGTGCTTTACAACAAATGGAATTGATGGCCGTAAGCTTATTCTGGTCGATGCATCCCATCTCCCCTCTCTTGGTATCACAGATTTTGAACACATTAAGGTAATAACATAATTTTACTGAAAGTTATTTTTAAGCAAAATATATCCCTCCAGTGATTACATAATTGACTCTTTGTTGATAATCATTACATGAGCACATGACTCTTATCCGAAAAATACAGCCAGAGCACTGAAAAGTTTCTTCCAACAGTGTGTGAAATTGGAAGAGACATTCTAATTCAAATGTTTGTCCTGTCTTTTTATGAAATGTCACATATCGTTGAACAGGCTTTTTGCCAAAACAGCACAACTATTTTTTTTGGTCAGCAGCCTTTTTGTAGTTTATTTGCTATGTCTGTGAGAAAAGACAACCCAAAACACTGTGAACTACTGATAGAATGACAGCATGCGTGAATGTGAACACAGGCCGTAGTGGAGAAAAATGGAAAAAAAAAATAAACGAATAGAGGTGATTTTTTTTCTCGATTTTCAGATTTATTGATGTGTCTAATCTTTGATGTCTACTAGTACTACACATATTATAGCCCTTATTACAGTACTGAATCCTCCATTTTTAATATGATTTTACCTGCTAGGGAGTTACGGTTAAAAGAAAAAATATAAAAACTGTGAAATGAAAGTGTTTTTCAGGAAAAACAGTTATCTTTAATTTTCACGACTGCAATACAGTCAAGACTTTAATATCCGTTTTCCCAATATTTAACTTTTTGACATTGGTAAATGCAAACTTTTAACAGCCATAACTAAACGGAATGTCTGACTGAAGTGCAACAAATAGTATTGTATGGAGAAGTTTATTTTCTTTTTTAATGCCCACAAACCCTCATATCGACCTCAGCCCAGTTCTGTCTCATTGTACCAGAACGCCTCACATAAAATTATGAAGGTAAACTGCAATTAAAGTTAACGTGTGTTACCTTGGAATTGCCCATCAAATTATCCTACTCCCCTTTAACAAACCAAGATAGAAGCAACTGTAAGAATAGTGGTCACCATCTAACACACCATGATGGAGACATGGATGCACTATAATGGTATTGATGCGGGATAAAATGTTTTCTTCTCTCTACCCTCAGCACATCTCAAGGAGTGTGAGGGACCTACTAGCTATCGAGGAGCCTTACTGGAATCGTAGCATTTCCCTCCCCCATCGGGAGATGACGGGCATGTACCTGGAGAGGAAGAGCATCACAGGGCCCAAGGCAGACAGCCTGACATACGGCAAGTACCTCAAGGAGCTCAAGAAAGAGGAACTGGCCAAGAATGGAACCAAGAGGTAGATGGCAGCTGCAGCTAGAGATTGGGGAGGGATGGGTTGGGGGGATCTATGGGGGTGGGGGGAGGAGCAGAGTCGTCTCAAGTCAATCACGTGTCAAATCATCAGTCAGTCACTTTTTCATAAGATGGAATTTGTGTCGGGGTGAGGTAAATAAGGCAGTGTCTGGCCAAACCGACCTATCACTGTTTATTTTTACATTGTTGATCACTTCACACTTACGTTACAAAAGCACACCCGGTTCAGTAGGGAATCGCTTGACTGGAAACTGGTTGACTTGTGATTGACTTGTGAGAACTTTACAACAACCTTGACAGCTCTGTGGAAACGGAGGATGGGAGTATCCATCGTACTCCAATTTAAGATGAAAGCCATGAAGCCTTAGAAAGTTTCTAGACTTTACCCGTATCAACAGACCAATACTGAAAACCCGACTTAGTACACAACAACATGCAATGGCAGAGATTTGATCAAGAGGTCATAAGTTAACAAAAGTCAACATGCACAATTGCATCACAGGTCATCCTCTAGTCTCAAGTCGTGTGACAAGCAAACTGTATTAGTCATTCTTTTGTTTTGCTCCTTCTTCGTTACTTGCGTTACTTAAGTGTGATTTGACTCGTGAATAAGTTGTGATTGGCAAGTGCCTGACTGGCTAAAACTCTGGGAAATCGTTCCATGCACAGTTGCTGAGATTTCATTGGTTGCTCTACACCATGATGATCATTCCTTGAACTTTGATTGGACGAGTTCTGTAGTGCATTTAGATTGGAAACGCATTGCCTCTGTGCACAGGTGTAAGTGTTCAAATTAAATTGACCTCATGCCAGGGTTCATAAGTGTAAGAAACTGTCTTGAGAGCCCAGCCAGTGTAAGAGTCTGTATCTATTGACAAGTCCAGGTACATGATCACTGTACACTCAGGATGCCCCCTTCAATGGAGAAACCATTGTGCACGCTAATGCACAAAGCAACTGCCCCATGATGGATTATCTCAGCAATAGCTAACACAATGCTTTCCCCATTGAAGGGGGCCTCCATGATAGAGTTTATAGCGTGCCCAGAGTCAGATAGTGTATGCAGGCAAACCGAACACATTTGATTTCCCAGTTTGAAGACCCTGATATCTTAACTATCATTGTTTAAATTTGCCCCTTGAGAGAAAAGGGTGGGAATTTTCAGAAAAGAAGTGATGTAGATACTCCTAGACAGTCAAGGTTGTTGGAAAGAAAAAAAGTACATCACTGTACATTTGCCAAGGAGTGTCACAGGAGATTTGTAAACTTGGGTTTTTCTAAATTTTCTTTTACAGTATTTATTAGATGATTCCTGCCATCATGTAAAAATGTGTGAATCTGAGAGAGTTATAGTTTTATTCAGTTGTATATTTTGCTCACTAATAATTGAAGCTGGTCTCAATGGAGAAAGCTACCAGACAGTGCATGAAATCAATTTGAATTGATTGTATTTTAAAGAGTTTTACTTGTAGGGTCAAGATACGGGAGAGTGGGGGGGGGGGGATTTTGTATTCTTTTAAGCCCTGTCCGCACTGGACTTTTTTGGTAAAACTTACCAAGACTATGGGTACTTTTCCCATTTTAAGTCCAGTGCGGACAGCCTAGGACGTTTTCCTCTCAGTGACTTTTCCTGAGTCCAGCGGTTACTTCTACTGGCTAAAACTCCCATTAATCCAAATTGTTGATGTGTTGAAAAAAAGGTGCATCACCTAGCTTATGCGACTATCATTTTGTTAAAGAGTAGAAGAATCATTGAGGCCAACGCTATTATCAAGTATCGAATTTTTCTGAAAAATCTGATTTGTCTTTTTATTTTGAGAACAATTTTATTTTTTTATTGTACATGTACACCGTACTTGACGTTATAAACTAAATTATTGATCAGAAGTGATCGCAATATAATATGGACATGCTGGACTAAATTTTAGGTTAAGAATGTGCAAATTGTAGACCCCTTTTAATTCATATCTTTAGTCTGATTCCCCTGCCTCCATCATCTTTCCATTGCCTCCCTTATATAAATCATCTCACTGCGCCCATTGGCATCACCCTCCCCATTTGGCAAGTAGCCCGCATTCTGGCTTCACCCTGAAATTATTCATACATGTATTTTCATTTTTCTATTTTGTTTTTCTGAGAAGTTAATTTATGAGCACACCCATTATATTAAGTGTAGTATTTAGTAATATAAAGGCTGATAATTATTTCACATAGCACTATATTTTTATTCTGTGAATGTGATTGTCAGTATTACATTTATGTATGTTAAAAAGTATTTTGGAAAAGTATTGCAAATTTATCACTGATTTTCAAAATACTGAAAAAATTAATTGAGTTACATGTCAGGGCTTTCATTGTTTCAAGACGCATAGCGACCTTAAGAAATTGAAATGTACATACTAGGAATGCCACCTAACTTTTTGAAAAGTGGAGATCTAAAACATTAGTTAACCTTTTTGGGTCGGTATGATTGCGTGACTGAAAATAAACCAAAGCTGGATATTAAATCTGAAGACATTTCACTGGTGTTACGCTAAGTCTCATTTCTTCATTTATGTATCAATCATTGTCACATACACAGATCCAAATTCAGTCTATATTCAAATTGATCCATACTATCACATTATTTTCAACACTTGTCACTTGCACGGGATAAGCACGGATTCAGTTACAAGTTTACAAAAATAATAATTAAACCTACAGTATTAATTATAATCTTTGGCAAGTAAGGAATCGTGTTGTAAACATCTAAATCATAATAGTTGGTGTACTCTTTTCGCAGCAATAGGGTGACTTTCCCATAGACTTGTGCACAAACCTAAACTGTCACCTAACCCAAGTTCACCTTATGTTTTTTCCACGAAATTTAGTATTTATACTAATTGGACCATGAGGAATCGATCTATATGGTTAGCGACAGCAACATTCCTTGTCCTAAGGGTCGTTTTCATAAAAGGGCGACAGTTATTTTGTCGCCCCAATAAGGTGTATCGACCTATTGTGGACGGAGTTCGCAAAACCTGTCGCCCTATTACAGTAATAGTAGTAATAGAACTTCCCATGTTTAGGTACCTTTTGACTGCGATATCGAGAGCGCGTATCGCTGGCGCTGACGGGCATTACTATTGGATTTACTGCTCAAAAAGAGGTAAATTGATGGCATCAAGCACTCTCTCTTGCATTTTCTCCACAAATCTTGGGTCTGAAGACTTGCCCGTTTGCGAACTTGTTGGCCTACTCATAAGCTTTCGAAAACGTAATGGTCACCCGTAGTTCTGTCTTCAGCTTGGAACGTTCTTTCCTAAAAATAAATCTTTTGTCCTATATTGGGGTGTGTCTGTGAGATTAGCGATTACTGAATTGTCCCTTGTTGTTAATAAGGCCGGAAAAGGGATATCCCAAATATTTCTTGCTCTAGAAGTGTTCGCATTATTTCCGACAACGGTGGGGCTTAGGAAAGGTCTCTAATATTTGAAAATGCATGGACACTCCCATGGGCGTCGCCAGGATTTTTCGGGGGGGGGGGGGGCAAAGCACATTATTCCCCCCCCCCCAAATCCTTGTATTTTGTCTTGCATATTCGAGGGTGGGCGGGGGGGGGGGGGGACTTTGCGCACCCCACCCCTATTGCCACCCTGCAGACGCCCATTTTGTTCAATATGTATTTAATTAATAGCAAATATATGATTTCACACCTCTTTTTTTTTTTTTTTTTGCTTTTGCAGGGGGGGGGGGGAGCGCCCCTCGCGACGCCCATGGACACTCCACACCAATTATATCTACGATAGAAACACAATCTTGTGTAAACAACAATGAAACCAGTTTGCGATCACGTATAATATACCACCAGTTGTTGCAGTGTAAGGGGGGCCATTACACAAAACGATAGAGATGCATATGAGGTGCGTATTGTGCGTACGACTGCGTATGAAAAAATGTCAATGCGCAACTCATAAGGAATTAGGATACGCAGAAGTGTGACAGGGCCCTAACATCAAAATGTTGAGATGCAGATACGTGTAGTCATGTATGATGTGTCATTAACTTAGGCATCTGTTCTGCCACAAGATTATGGAATGCTTCCATCCTCGATGATCCTGAGCAAACGTCACCAGAGGGTAATGAATGGAAATCATTAACTGTCTTGAGCAGTGGCGGCGCTACGGGGCCAATGAAAGCATTAAAACATTGGTACTTAGGACAAAACACGTCACACATGCATTTATACAGTTTGGTACATTTATCATTCATAAAAACGACTACACGTCTAAGTTGCTCTATTGTGGCTTATTTCCGGACTATTGACACATTTCATTGCCCCCAAATTATATCCTTGCCCCCCCCCATTGCCCCCCCCCCATTTTTTTTGAGTCTGGCGCCGCCACTTGTTCTGAGCCAGGCGCGAATTTCTATTCCGTAGGTGATGCCATAAATTACTGTTCTTAGACATGACATCCACACAGAAGTTGCCAGCATCACCAGATTACTTGCAGACGATCGCCTCTTTTATAACACCATGGTGAGAACAACTTCAGTTTGATTAAAGTTTTAGCAGATCTTGAGCTGGGCAGAAACCAGTCTTGGTGCAAGAGCAGGATTTCAACTTTATTCCGGTCCCTGACTTCGCCCTGCAAACAGGACGCTGGGATACTCTGATGAATTCACGCTCTGATTGGTTGGTTTTGCGTGACCAGTGACCTGCGCGTCGTCAAGGTCATGACTCTGCAAGGTTTGAAACGGCCGTTAAGACTGATTCATTACTCTTTTATTCCAGTTTAGAGATTTTTTCACGTTGAAAAGCGTTATAATGTAGGAAATTCTGTAAAACATGTCTGTGTTGTAAATTTACAATTCCCGTCACTCGCTCAGGCTCCGTTTCGAATCACGAACGGTCGGATTGCATTATGCGACGCTCAAAATTTTGTCCACATGGTCCGCAATGAAACAGAAAGCACATCCGGTTTTGCAGCCAGATGCTTTATACATAGGTCAAGGGCCACTTCCTTCACAAGATTCTGTGAAGCTCATCAGAGTATCCCAGCGTCCTGTTTGCAGGGCGGGGGGTAGGGGCGAAATCGAAGTCCCTGACAAGCGTGGTAAAGCTGCAGATATAGAGGGCGCTATCAACAAGATCCAGTTCGCTCGTACCCCCCGCCCTGCAAACAGGACGCTGGGATACTCTGATGAGCTTCACAGAATCTTGTGAAGGAAGTGGCCTATGACCTATGTATAAAGCATCTGGCTGCAGCTGTTCAAGACCGCAGTTAGACAATGTGCGCAAATGCTATCCGAAAACTTCCCATAGAATTGCGCGCATTCAAAACCGGATATGCTTTCTGTTTCATTGCGGACCATGTGGACAAAATTTTGAGCGTCGCATAATGCAATCCGACCGTTCGTGATTCGAAACGGAGCCTGAGCGAGTGACGGGAATTGTAAATTTACAACACAGACATGTTTTACAGAATTTCCTACATTATAACGCTTTTCAACGTGAAAAAAAATCTCTAAACTGGAATAAAAGAGTAATGAATCAGTCATAACGGCCGTTTCAAACCTTGCAGAGTCATGACCTTGATGACGCGCAGGTCACTTGTGACGTAAAATCCAACCAATCAGAGCGTGAATTCATCAGAGTATCTCAGCGTCCTGTTTGCAGGGCGGGGGGTACGAGCGAACAAGATCCAGCTGCGCTACGCAGGAAATTCGCAACCTCGTCCCCAGTGCTTACTTTATTTCCAACGTTGTTTCCAATAGTAAACCCTGGATAGGAAACTTCCTTCCTGCATCCTGATTCGATACCGCAATTGGCTAGAAATGGATTTATATCGTGTACTTGGTGTTGTTATTCACAACGTGCAGTACGTGTTTTAGCGATCATTCGTCCACGCCTTCTCGAAAATATTCCTTTCCTTTCCAGTTTGTTAATAGTAATATGAAATGTGATACTGCATGTTGTCTCGTTAAGATCGTAACAGTTTAATTAAAATAAAATCATGTTTTCGTAACTCATGCCATGCTCGCGCTGCGACGAATTGATTCTGTTTTTATCCCAGACACCGCCTACAAAAACAAACGCAAATGTAACGCACAGGCAGGCACCAGACTACTCCTAATTTGCATACGTGTTCAAAAATCTTGCACATGCAAATGATCCAATACCAGGGTGAGAGCAGGTAGTGGTAGGCGCGTACTGCTCGACACCCTGGGAACGAGGTTGGGAAATTGGGGACCTCGCAAGTGTAATCAAGCTAACTGCGCGCGCGACGTATGCTCAACATTTTCCGGGTAACGCTGCCCACTGTTTCCAAGGGTTCACCCCATATAAATCCGTCCGCCGAGCTCATGAATAAAAGTTATACATTCAAGTTACATGTATTCTAATACAGAGTTTTGGGAGCCATTGAATTGGGGAATTGAAGACATTGCACTGCATGCTTGCACCTCTGGCCTTGACTTGGGGCTTTCAATTTTGAGCATTTTGGATGCAATTGGGCCCGAAAGTGGCGCTATTAGCCATGTTGTGGAGGGATCCTTTTTCAAAATGGCTACTTCTCCAGTTTGGGAAATATCATTCGTAGTCTTCTTTGGCTGACAATTTTTCAAAAAGTCATTGGGCAACCCACCAAAAATTGAACGGAAAATAAAAGACGACATGTTGAACATCATTGTCCTGTGCAACTTGAACACCTGTGAGTGTTTTGAGTAATTTTAAAAGAAATTTGAAGTATGGGGATTTATCACCGGTGTCTATTATGGGAATTTAGTTACGTGGGTGCAAAGTTTTGATTATAGTCTTGTTGATGGCGTCCTCTCGATCTCCCGCGGTGCCAGTTTTCCGTGCTAGTGTCAGGGACCGGCTGTTTTAGTGGAACTAAAATCAAATCTCGGACAAAGACTAGGCAGAAGAATACACTGTGCTCCTTTCCCCCTCATTCCAATTGGCAATGCATTGCCCGGCTATCACATGCAAAGCAGTGCGTGCCTATTTCAACTTTCGCTGGACATTGTGCACATCGGCCTTCGGTTTGTTTAATACTAATAATAGTAGGGTCATTGATGGCTCAGTGCTCGTATCACAAAGAGTTGAATAAAGCTCAGTTCCCGTATTATATAGAGTTGAATAAAAGGTCAGTTCCCGTATCATAATGAATATATAACACGGCGGCTTAACTGTTCTCTATAATTATATACATGTAGACTGCAAAGGTTCGGTGCCGGGTCGACATACGTACATGTAACAGTGACCAGCGATGTCAGACGCGCCAACAGTTTCCTCTCATGCCTTGCTTAATAAAAGTACACGAGTTTAAGTGAAGTCCTCCTGAAAGGTAGGCCTATAGGTACCGATCATCGTACCCTTTATAGGAGGAACTTTATTTATTTGCTGTTAAGATAATCGCACAAATACATCATGACTTGTCGGGGTCAAAGTCGGCTTGTACATATTTTGTCGTGTATACGGCCTACCTTTTTCCGTACCCGTTAAATCAAAGTGTCCTTGAACTGTGTTTTTGTACGAGTTGGGAAATCTCCAACAAATAAGGATATTTGCGGTATCATTTGTGTAGTACGCCCTACACTAGGAAATAATTATGACAAAGGGAAGGATGCAACATTAATGATGACGATTTTTCCCTACCAGATAGTTGACAACGAGGCTGTATAAATTGTCGTTCAAAGATGAAACTAAAGGAAGATATTTGCGTATCCAGTGATGACGCTAACACATCGATACACTGTATTCCGGATACCCGTATCATGTACATCGCAGACTACCTTACTGCTATACACCATGGTATTTTCATCGTGGTCATGTGTGCTACGTTCCTAGGGATGTGGTGGCGCTACCGACATTACAAGACACATTTACGATATGTGCGATTTCCTGGACACGTCTTCCGTTGGATCGTTTCAACTGTTCTACTGCTGTGTCTCCTAGCTTCGGTCGGGGAAAGCTTACTATCCAGCGCAACTTTACGCCAGCACATCAGCGCTGTCTGGCGTATTTCCTTACCATCCTTTTTCGCCTTGACTGCATTAGTATCTTCTTTAGTTGGCACCTATCAGATGGAGAGGTACCGAGAAAGACGCATGTTGTGGCTGCTCGGCATTTATTGGTTTGTTTCGTTGATAATGGAGGCAGGTCGGCTTGGATCGATGTTCGCGAGTGGATTGGCAGATATGAAGATAGCTAGGTGGGACCTGTCTATACTACAGCTATTTTTCTACCTGATTCTAACGTTCGTCGAGGTATATGTCATATTGTACACAAAGGTACGTTTCCAAAAGTAGCCTAGTTTTCCAAAGCGAAGGCTGGTTCATGCTTCATGCTGGCTGGTCCGGTCATGAGTGGTTGACATAAATAAGCGTCTGACATCCAAATGAAAATCAGTGCCATCTCACAATAAGCCTCTGTACTGATGACGTCACACTTTGTTTACGTGTGTGCTTTCCTATGGTGCTCAGTGGACCGTGGGCCCCCACTGGCTCCATAGGAAAGTGCACATGTAAACAAAGTGTGACGTCGACAGTACAGAGGCTCATTGTATTTGCCAACCATCGGCGGCGGATCGCTTTTCAAACTGGGGGCTATCACCAAAAAGGGGCCGCTGCTCAGAAAAAAGGCGCCTTCCGTCGGTGTGAATGAGGAGAATATTGTGAAACTATTTTCGTTCACATTGCAAGGAATACATGTTACTCGGAACAAAATTCACTAACAACATTGATATACACTTTTAAAATGTTTGCGTTAAAATTTTATTGTTCTAAAATATAAGGTAATTTTTCACTTGAGAGAGCCCTTCGGCCTCCGGCATACCCCCGGCAGTAACCTCTCTGGGTCCGCCTTTGAATTTGACTAGTTAGGCCTATGCAAAGGGCCATTTTTTTTCGTGAGAGGGGCACTGTTGCTTTTGATGGCCAGTTTGGTGACCATTACGGTGAAGAACACTTATTATTTTCAAAGGACAGTTGTTTTTTTCTTGAGAGAGGCACAGTTTTATTGTTGCAAGCGGGGCACCAACTGTGCTTTCGAGGGGCAGTTTTCCATCTCGATATGTTATCGCGAGAGGAGCACTGGTGTTTTTAATGGCCAATTTCCCATCTCGAGAGGGGCACAATAATATTTTATTTTTGCGAGAGGGGTATTTGTGTTTTCGAGGGATAGTTTTTCATCACTAGAAGGTTCACAATCTTGTTAATGCGCGAGGGGTATTTGTGTTTTGCGGGCACGTGTGGTCTAGAAGTGGAGCACAGGGTTCGCGATCGAGAGGTTGTGGGTTCGAGCCCCACCGTGGCCATGCGTGTTGTGCCCTTGAGTAAGGCGCTTTACCTCAATTACTCCTCTCAACCTAGGTGTTAAATGCTGGTACCAGCATTGTTCAATGCTGGGATGATGGTAACAGACTCGCTGCGGAGGAGGTGGGGCGACCCCCCCCCCCCCCACAGCAGCATATGAGTCTGGCCCAATCGCTTCGAAGGAGAGATGGGCACTCCGTTCCTGTGAATACAGGTTCGTCCCCCTTTATTTGTGTTTTAGAGGGGCACTTTTGCAAGCGCGATCATAATGCTTCATGTGTGCGTTTGAGGGGCAGTTTTGTTTTCATCTCGAGGGGGCACATTATTTTATGACCGTGAGAGGGGCAATTTTGTTGGCCTGGGAAAATCTGGGGGCACCTTGTCGTTTCATTTCATCAACTATAGTCTTATTCGAAGGTTGTTTGGAACCAATATACTCTTTGGAAATCTGCACCCATATATATTTCGTCTTTCGGTATCCACTGTTTTAGGTCACATCTGAAGCATGCGTGAATGATACTACCGAGACTCTATTTAGACCGAAGGAAACAACCTTACCGTCGGAGCTGTTTGCCTGGTGGCTGGGCTGGTTGTTTGACCAAGGAACTTTGACGACTGTTGACGAGTTGGGACAGCTACCATCAGAATACGGCGCTGAAACAATAGGCCAACGGTTCAAAATTGCTTACGAAGAAGAGAGGGTCAATCTTTTTTAATTTTTTTATTTGGTTTCAATTCGATTTGATTTGGCATAAAGAGTTCCATACCTGGACATCAGTTGACACCCTGTGCACAAATCCCATGAGACTGATATGAAAAACTTCGTGTTTTCTCAGTAAATGCTTCAATATTTTCCCTGCTAAATTTGACCTTTTTAGGACATGTTATCGCTTTCCGACGGTTGATAGGTCACAGCACGGAAAAATGTATGTCCATGTATGGAATTCTTCCCGAAATGCCATTGCAAAGACTTCACATGATCAAAATTTGACACACACACAAAAGGTAATTCCATGGACAGTGCATGACATTTTAACAACCTATTTGTTTATCCATGTAAATTTTGTTAGCTTGGCTTGGCTTGCTATTTTTTGCTAATCTGAGACAAGTAATTCTGAACTTTTAACGAGAAAAACAATCAGGTTTTTTTCCTCCTATGATACAGGTAAGAAATCGGCGAACGAGTCACCGCTACCCATCCTTATGGAGAGTTTTGTTGAAGACCAATGGCGTGGCAATGGTTACCGCAGGAGCATTTTTAATTGGAAACACCTGCCTGATATTAATTACACCATTCGCCCTCCATAGCCTTTTGAAATATGAAAAAGCGTACATATTCGGCACTACTGATGAAGAGGTAAGACAAAACAAATCGGAGGAAATACTGGACGTTCATCATGGAAAAGAAATTGCTACTTCAAATGCGACGGAACATACTACGCGTACTTTAAAATCTGACCGGTCTAGCCCTGAGGATCTTTTTGAATTAAAACAAAAATTAACTCTGATGACTGCATGCATAGAGATAATCTGGCTTTGACAAAATGATAACCTTGGAAGTAACTTATAAGTGTCCCTGTAGTTTATAAGGCCAAAAAGGTCTCCGGCTTCTGGTATGGAGCATGCCCCAAAAGTTGTGCGCTGACGAGGTTCCCCCCCCCAACTTTTGTTTTCTTCAAATGTCGGCCGATGTTGCAGATGACGCTTCGATCCCCTTAAAACTCTCAAAAATATCCTTCAGAGTGGAGCTTCAGGTGACCTCAGTAAGGCTATAAGGCTTGAGAAGTCTGCAACCACTTACGATCTCGACCGACACGGGAAATTTGGGAAATTTGGATAGTCGAGACAAAAATCAGAGAAAACGGTAACGTCTGATCATACAGCGACATCGACATCGTGCATGAGCTGCCAGGCTGGTTATTAGTCTGCTCCCTTACATATTTCGCTGATTAAAAAGCGTTTACAGGTTCCAGATACACGATCATCACTCCCTCAGTCTGGCTTCCAGACGCATTATTACAAAATCACAACACCGTCTGCAAATGGTGCCCGACTAAATTTGGTGCAAAATATAAGGGAGCCCAAAGAGGCCACATAAAGCTTATACTTAATCGTAACCCCATCTAAAAAAACACGTTAAAATAATTGTGCAGCAGCAGGATTCCAATCAAACCAGTGAGTTTGGCGGTTTTGAGACATCATCTTATACATTGATAAAAACTGTTTAATTTTGCCGACGCGCATGGCTACGGCGACGCGCGTGCAGACCAAAAACCGGGGACTTTTTTTGCCTAACATGTCATTTGTAATAAGCCTAATCAATGTTATGTAATCATAAGTATTGTGACAATTTTCCCGGTTTATTTTCAGGTACCACATTACGTCAGCGTCAGTGAGATGACGACAAATGTCTTCGTTCTGATGTTCGTTATATTCCTTGCCATGTTCTTCCAGGGGATATTAAATGCTTCCTATCGATTTACGGCCGGTATGGAGGCAGTGCGGATCATATCAGCATTACGGGTATGTTTATTATTGTCAACAGGCACTGAACACCCAGTCCACATATGATCTCGGGCAGGATTCGAACCCGGTGTACTCTGAAATTTGGACTCCATTAAATACGGACTCATTTATTGTAATGCGCATGCCCATTATAAGGACAGTGACAGCTGAGGTGTGAAGGTTATAGAATCCATATATTTATAAGGTAAAAGATACCAGATTTCATAAGAGTATACATTTCATATGACACTGGAGCACAGAGGTGGAAGGCCAGGAAAGGACCCCATGTGCCAACCTGCCTCCCCAAAGACACGTTTCCTTTACCAAAAAAAAAAAAAAGAAGGAGAAAAGAAAAAGTAAAAAAAGAGAACACTATTAAAAAAAACACATGACAAATTACCATAGAGACAGAGAGGTTGATAGTCCCGTAATAAATATCTATATACCATGTGACCTGTGACGTCTGTGATGGAAACCCAAAACATTTCAGCATCTTTTGCATGTTATTTGGCCCACATAAAACAGTATATGTCAACCTTTTTAAACCACTTACATTTCAAGAGATATACATCGAAGAAAACCGTTCACTGGAAGGTGGCATCACATGACCACAGCATCCAATTTGGTAAACAGAATCAATGTGACATGGTCTATGTCAGGCGGACGTCTCTATAGTCCGAAGATTTACCGAAGTACCATTGGTCCGAAGTCCCATTGGTCCGACGTCCCATTAGTCCGAAGTCCCATTGGTCCGAAGTCTCATAGGTCCGAAATCCCATTGCTCTGTACGTTCCATTGGTATAATCGTCCCATTTGTCTGACGTCCCATTGGTCTGACGTCCCATTGGTCCGACGTCCCATTGGTCCTAAGTCCCATTGGTCCGACGCCCCATAGGATTTGGGTTAGGGTTAGGGTTAGGGTCAGTCAACCTGAACCAGTGGAACTACACAGTATTATGTTTCATCGGACCATTGGGACTTCGGACCAATGGGACTTCGGACCAGTGGGACTTCGGACCAGTGGGACTTCGGACCAATGGTACTTCGGACCAATGGTACTTCGGACTATCGAGACTGAACCCTATGTCAGTACTCTGGGCTATGTGTTACCTTCCTTCAACCATTTTACAGCTAGCCGTTTTCGAGAAGTCGTTACGTCTCTGCCATGGGCTGGATATTTCTTCGGGAGAAATCGCCAATCACATGTCCGTTGATTGCGAAATGTTCTTTTACGTGGCGAGATGGATCAGCAACGTCTGGACGTTTCCCATTTATGTAGGTATAGCTTGTATGTCAATCCGCATAAAGACAATAACGCAACGCCTTCTGGTGGATGTGCTTGAAGAAATTGAATCGAAAATGGTATGGCTTTGTCCGATATACGACACGGCCTCGTCTTACAATCAATGTCTAGGAACGTCACTTGTAAACTGATGATCCCTTGAGATATGCATCCAGACGATTATTGGTCTCATGCCTGACACGCAGTCCTAATAGTTGCATACTGCCGACATTTGCCTGATATCTTACTTTCTTGTTTTTGAATGGTAATCGCCCATCACAATTAAGGCCAATAGAGGGCCACTCAAGGTGTGGGCTACATAGGAAAGTAAAGCGAAAATAGTTTAACTCAGAGAGAGAAGATATCTATTCACTTTTCTTTTGAAACAGGGATAGATTATAAATTGGTGGAAAACAGAACTCAGGTAAGGATTTCCAAAGTGCAGCAGTACGAGGAACAAAGCTAGAAGAATACATCACAGTACTGGCCTTTGGAACAGATACAGTGACGGGATGAGAGGAGATTGCACAACGTGTGCTGCGAGTGATGGTGCAAACAGAAGGGACAACAAGTGAAAGACCGTCTGAGCACATACCATGATAAACGATACTGACAAAACTTATAAATAAACCAATTGCCAAACTTAATATGTTGTCCAGTTAACATTGTCTGTCTTGTGATTGCCCTTAATTACCTTTTATTTTTCGACAGGGTACCATCTGGTTGTGCATTGCATATAAATTGCTGGGATTCTCGGCTCTGGTTGGTTGTTTGGTATTCGTGTTAATGATAATCCTTCAAGGAATCATCTCCAAAGTAGGAGCGCGATACTGCAGAGAAGGCCTGGTGAGTTTTATGTTGTTGAGGAATATCATTTGCATTTGTTCCTTCATTTTCATGATGACTTGATGAGTTGGGCCCAGCTGTCCCTGTCAAGCATAGTGTTGGAAAGAGATGGACCACTCAGGCCAGTTTCCAGCTCGATGGATGTTTTCAGGGCCATGTTGGGACGACCTCTACGACGAGGGGTATCAGGATTCCAGAGAAGAACACGACTAGCCGGCTCAATAAGTATAAAGAAATGATCAACTTTAACATTCAAAAAAGTAACGTTGATAATTAAAGAGTGATAATATACCAGGGAGTCAGGTTGGCTTAGCGGTGCTTTTCTCGCCTTCCACCGCTGTGACCCGGGTTCGAATCCCGCCCGGGCCAATATGTGGATTGGGTTTTCAGTCCCTGACTGATTCCGTGGGTTTTCCCCATAATATTCTTCTGGGCTTTTCCTCCCACCTCTAAACTGTAACTTCTTCTTATTGTCTTCTCTCCATTTATCCATCCTGTTATTGGCGCTTGTGCTGTTGGATGTGGCTGAAATAAAATAAAATAAAATAAAAATAAAATAAAATTGAAGACGAATTGATAACTAAGAACTGGTTATCTAAAAACGCTACAATGTGAACAATCGAGAAAGTAACGTAGATAAGTAGCTGGATTAACGGAATCATGAACGCATGAAAACACGCGTGATGACTTCACTGATAACCAGAGTATAGTCAAGCAGGTGAGAATTAGAAAACAATTGATGTTCATGGAGTTTGTTTGTTCATAGGGAGTCTGTTGATAATTGGATATATTTGTAGGCTTATGGAGATAGACGATTGCAGAAGACAAATGAGATACTACACGGCATTCGGTTAATCAAGCTTTACGGATGGGAAGAGATATTCTACCGGTCCGTTGAACAAATCCGCAAGAAAGAACTACGGTGGAACCTCCAAAGGAACATATGCCACGGTTTGACTTGTACGTTACACATAGAAGTAAAAACATGTTCGATTGATTTTTTTTCTTGATGTGTGCCTTTGCTGTTGAGGGAATGTATAAGTTGTGTTTGTCAAAATCTACATCAAATTTAAACCGATAGGGGTTGACACACTTCAGAAAGGTTTGTTTTAACGCTTCAAGTATATAGCAATGTTTTTTTTTGTTTAAATCCATTTTAACGCGTTAATGTGTTAGTAAATAGACATGAGTGCGTAGCGGAGAAGAACCCCAAAAGGTCCAGGTTAGAAATACTTCATGAACACTTCATTTTTTTCGTAAACGTTATCCGAAATGAAACGTTTATCAGAAGGAAACAGTTTGTTTTAAACTTGTAAGATTTCGTATTTGTGTATTTTCTTTGAAGTGACAAGCACTTTACACACTTGGTACACTTTTTGTCAAACTATAAAAGGAAAACAATTGCTTGTATTTATTTGGATATGATTTTATTTCATAGATAAAAAAACATGCAATGGTATCACAGTAAGAGTCTGTATATAATGAGGTATAAACTGCACACATGTATAGTTGGCTTCGATTGAATATAATTCATACTTTCCTACCCTATAGCTTTGATTGTCGCGTCATCTCCAGCTATTCCTACTTTGGTGGTATGTAACGTTTCCCTCAATTTATCAGACAGATTTTTGAAGTTTCTAGTCAACGTGGTAGTGCAACGCTGTGCTTGACACTCGCAATTTATAATAATTTTGTCGGCATTCTCTTTAAGATGTTCTCCACGCACACTCTTCTGTTCGGCAATCGAATCACCGCAGACATCGCTTTTCCCAGCTTGTTTCTAGTCGACTTTATGGGCCAACAAACGCGCGAATTCATCTCGTCCCTGAAATTCCTCGTCGACGGCTTCGTGAGCATGAAGCGCCTGGAGAAGTTCCTCAGCGCACCAGAAATTGTTAACACCAACCGAATCAGCTCCAATCTGCAGCTTTATAAGGTATCAACGATTACTACTATCAAATCTTCAAATCTTAAAAAAAGTATCAAATATTATGATTATAATATATAGCCAAAAAAGTCTTTAAAGAGTTTTATTTGGATAAAACTTTACCGCTTCAATTTTGTTTTGTATTTCAAGTGAACTATGATTCTACATTCATTTTAACATGTAGGACATGCCTCCCAAATTGTCGAACTTTCTCAAGAGAGGCCGCACTGATGGAAATCACGAGAGACATCAAAATGGTGCGGTAACAGTAAGTGCTCTTTGGTGAACTTTTATCTAAAAACACCGCAAAAAAGAAAGTCCACACCCATTGCAGGGGTCACAATTTCGAATCTGATTCTCTTATGATAAAGTCATTTATATAGACCTTTGAGGAATGTTGTTAGCTACATTTTGATACCCCGTTTGCTACCAAAGAATATGTAAATCGTCCAAAAATTGACTGTTTATAAACAATGATGCAGTTTGAAAAAATGCAAATTTAAAGAGTACGCGAGTCGAGTGGAAATTGCTGTGAGACAATGTGACACTGCCCGAAACGAACGGCAGGGAAAATCGATCGCACAATGTTTGCATGTGCATGGGAGCACGTGAAATTTAATATCCCACGCTTTGTTCGGGCACTTTGCAGTCGATAGGGGCCAATGAATTACGGGCAGGTGTCTTGGCGCGTAGTATTTTCTCCTCACTATCTCTTAAATTGCAACTTTTCAAACTGCATCGTTTTTCATAAACCATTGCTAATCTTGGACGATTTACAATCTTTGGTGGCAAACGGCGTATCAAAATGTAGCTAACAAAATTCCTCAAAGGTGTATATAAATGACGTCACCATCAGATTCAAAATTATGACTCCTCCAATGAGTGTGGACTTTCTTTTTTTTGCGGTGTTTTAGTTGTTATTCATGTCTCATTCAATGCTGCGTGAAATGGATATTATTCCTGATGATTTATTAACGATCAGTGGGATTGGCTGGACTGCCTGTAAAACTGCCTTTAAAAGATGATGCTAACGTTTTACTGATGACGATATGCATTTTTCAAATTACTGTTAGAGATAAAAACAAATTGATTTCTTACATCTGCATAAGCAGAGACTACCTTTCATGTTGTCTTTTAATGCAGATCAAGGATGGAACGTTTTCGTGGGATTTAAAGAAAACTGGGGTACAACCAATAATATCGGACATCAACCTGCAAATACCGGAAGGTAAGACTATGATGTTGCGATGGATTTTGTTTGGTCTGCACAGTTACCAAAAGGTACTTTGATGGATTTTGTTGGATCAAGCATAGCGAAAATTGGACAGAATAAAACTGATCAGGATCAGGCCAAATGAGGCTAACGTCCTGCATAAATTCAACCGTTAGCGTTTGCATATGAATATTTAAAGCCACCAAAGTAATTTTTACTTCTTCAAAGGGGGGTGGAGTGACTGCTATGCTTCTGTCCCAGTGCGGTTAATAATAACAATGTGTTAGAATGGGTCATATTTTGAACGCGTGCGGGCGATCTTTAAATTGTATTGTCTATTATGTTCGGAAATATTCCTTTTTTTCCAGTTGAAGGGTAAGTTGGGATTTTTTTTCCCGTTTCAGTTCGCCCCTCACATTGCATTTAACGTTACGCTGCTGAAGGGCAATATTTTGTATGTCTATATTAACATGTACAAATTCATCTTCGAAAAAAAGTAAAGTCTGTCACAAGCCAATGTGGCCCAGGCCGGCGTTTACCTCCGGTTTCAGTGGTATGAAAAGACTGAGAATATTTATATTCCCGCTGGATGGGATGCCAGTCCATCGCAGCTTGCTCCCCAGCTTGTGCCTGTACCAATATATATTGCTGGGTGGAGAGAGGCACATGGGGATGAAGTGGCTTGCCCAAGGACACAACACATGGCCATCAGCTGGATTTAAATCCCTGACTTTCTAATCATGAGTCTACGAACCCTAACCACTATAGGCCACATTCCCCTCGCATTTAAACATCAGATTTTCTACATGAAATGGAAGTCGTGCCTCAATATGTGACCTGCTGAGGCAAAATGAGGAATGTCCCCCAAAACCTTGTTTTAAGCAATCGACACCTGAAGTCGGATATGGGTCATTCCATGTCAGACCAACGCACTTTTTTACCTCATGTCTTCCGATTTTGATAAAAATTGCTGTGCTTGTAGGTCCTAATGAGCAATGAATACACACCAATTTTTAGCCCGATCCGACCTATTATGTGGTCAGGGCAGAAGCCACAAAAAAATGGCATTTTTAGAGTAAAATACCACCCTTTTGGTATAAATACATCAAAACTATGGCAATTTTCATCAAATATATGTGAATTTGGTATTAAAATAATGAGGATTGCATGCTCAAATCACTTCTTTTGTCAAAATTAAATTTTATGAAAAGTAGGTCACGTGACCTTTAATATGCTATCGTGACCTTTGACCCAATTTTTGTAATAATGTATCATTCCGAAAATCTACGAAATAAAAATAACTTGCTAGAGCATATCTTCCTCTATCAGAATCTACTAAAAATCAGTTGGGGTCTTCAAAATTTACAACTTTACGACTACTTTTGTACAGTTGGTAGGTTACAAATGAGTCAATTTATAGACTTTACATAAGAAATACACCAACACAACTTACTATTCTGTTTCTTAAGTTACTAACATTTAATTTTAGTAACTTAGGAAACAGAATAGTAAGTGGTGTATTTCAAATTAATCTAGATTTTTATGTATAAAGTACAAAGCCAGGAAAAACAAAATTCTACCTTCTGATTCCAAAGAAACTGTCTAATCAGAATATCTGGACTCGGAAGTGTGCTAACTACTAACAGTAACCAGGCCTTCACCCAGTACAGCGGACTCACGTCCAGGTGAAATTCATCTCAAAGGAACAAAATGCCAAGTCTGTGAGAGTCATTAAAGTTCAAGAAGCACAGTGATGAATGAGTAAGGTAACTTTGATTGTAATATTAAGTATTATCTTCAAGCAAACTTGAATCCTAGACCCTGATTAGTCCATCTATAGCAACAACTGTGTGATTTTATATAATGTTGTACAGCTATATTGCACCCCAGATATTAAAAATGTACGTGTACATATGTTGTGTTATTTCCTGCAGAACGGACCAATACACTACATGTATGCACGTACATCTTCACCGCGTGTACGCATTTGATATCAAGTTTGCTTGAAGATAAATTGGTTATAAATCCCACTTGCGCTCGTGGAACACGGAATTATGTAGTGCATCGAGTGGCATATGGGTCACAGCCTCATTGCATTATTTCATATTCCAAGCGCGCTCGTGGGATAACTAATTATCAGTGGCACCCAGGAGGGGGGGGGGGCTTGAACCCACCCCCAACATTGTCAATTTGTTTGTTTGATTTTAGGCTAGTTTTTGTTGGTCCAATACAGAAATTTGAACAAAAAACGATTTATGACCCCCCCCCACCAAAAGCCAAATCCTGGGTGCGCCACTGCTGATAATTTACACTATGAGTCTGGTTAGACCTCATCAGCCCTCAGAATGAGAAATTCACAAACCAAGATATATTTTAGTAACTTTAGAAACAGAATAGTAAGTTGTGTTGGTGTATTTCTTATGTAAAGTCTATAAATTGACTCAATTGTAACCTACCAACTGTACAAAAATAGTCATAAAGTTGTAAAATTTGAAGACCCCAACTGATTTTTAGTAGATTCTGATAGAGAGAGACATGCTCTAGCAAGTTATTTTTATTTCGTTGATTTTCGGAATGATACATTATTACAAAAAATGGGTCAAAGGTCACGATAGCATATTTAAGGTCATGTGACCTACTTTTCACAAAATTTAATTTTGACAAAAGAAGTGATTTGAGCATGCAATCCTCATTATTTTAATAACAAATTCACATATATTCGATGAAAATTGCCACAGTTTTGACATATTTATACCAAAAGGGTGGTATTTTACTCTAAAAATGCCATTTTTTTTGTGGCTTCTGCCCTGACCACATAATAGGTCGGATCGGGCTAAAAATTGGTGTGTATTCATTGCTCATTAGGACCTACAAGCACAGCAATTTTTATCAAAATCGGAAGACATGAGGTAAAAAAGTGCGTTGGTCTGACATGGAATGACCCATATACTAGAAAAATCTTGTTAAAATCGATATTTATTGTTTTTTTGTTTTTGAGTAGCCAAGGTATCCAAGATTCACACTATGCATTTCAGTTGGGAAAAAATACCCAATAAAAATGAAGAACGTGTTTCACTGCTGTTGGCGGCGCAATGTGTGTCTTTTTTCCCAAGCCGTTTTCTCGAAATTAGGTTAGCGAAATTCGGCAGGACACTGTTGAAGTTCCTGCGGCATATCTTTGGAATAAATTAAGACACGGGCATAAATTAGGTATCATAGGAAAGCCAATGATTTTGCGCTTTATCATGTTGTACATAATGTGAAAAGTCAAAGTTGGGGGTTATTCCTCATTATGCCATGGCAGGTCACATTCATGGTTTCATTGACCTAATTTGAAGGTAAACTGACAATGATCGTTGGCGAGGTAGCGAGTGGGAAGTCATCGCTCTTGGCAGCAATCCTTGGAGAAATGAACGTACTGAAGGGATCTGTCAAATGCAGGTACAATGTGAATGCATCACTCAAACTTAAAATGCAATATAGTCGGGCGTCAGAATTTGACATAAATATGATGCTAAACAATTATTCCACTCATGATCACGATCAACACAGATTAATTTTATGTAACGACAATTGACTATTTTTCTTGGTTTTAATTTTTCTTAAAAGAACATCAAAGGTTGGCTATTCTGCTCAAAAGGCATGGATCCTCAATACGACGCTGAGAGAAAATATTATCTTCGATAGTCGGTTCGATTCAGTACGGTAAGTGTGTGGTATAACATAGGAATAGGACATGACACTATGTATCCCTGCGTGCCATCAAAGTCCTGAGGCTGTATTGTGTGGCATTTATAGACATCTAATTAACATCCAATAGTTCGATACACTTTCTGTTTGGGCAAAGATTATTTTCAAAGTTTGCTCTGACAGAACTGGATTGAAATTACTGTTTGTAAGAGTTTTGCTACTGATTTTTGCCTATTTTTGGTAGGCCTATAAGTGCTTTATAAATAATAATATTGGCTTCTTGTATATGGCGCTCATGTCCGTCACGAAGTGACGCTTCTGGCGCTCCAATATTACCCTGGCTTTAGCACGGCTGCCATTACGGCGATCAATCATTAAGGAATTTCTTCCTACCAGGTACCCATTTACTACATCTGGGTGGAGAGAGGCAATCGTAGTAAAGTGCCTTGCCCAAGCGCACAAGCACCATGTTCCCGTCAGGATTTGAACCCATGTACCACGGCACACGAGTCGAACACCGTAACCATTAGACCACAGCACCTCACGATTGATGATTTCGTGGTATTTCAAAAACATTACAACTTCCTTCGTATTTAGATCGCCACTGTGCAAAATCTAACTCGCCCCATTCTTTATTTCCTGTAGATACCAACGTACGCTAGAAGCATGTGCTCTCAATAAAGACATCGGCGATCTGCCGGCCGGAGATTTGACTGAAATTGGCGAGAAGGGGATTAATCTTAGTGGTGGACAAAAACAACGAGTCAGCTTAGCACGAGCTTTGTATTCCCAAACCGAACTAGTTCTCCTGGTAAAACCAAAAGCCAATCTTTTTATTATCCATGGTCATGAAGTAAACATACCTATGATGAATTTGTTAACATCCCCATAGGAAGGCTTATTCTTGAGGCTTTCAATATCAATGAGATATTAAACAATAATATTAATTATGTGTGGTGGACATACAACGCTTTCCACTCAAGATAGGTCTCGAAGTGCTTCACAATTATTATCCCTGTTCAACAGGCGATGTCCTCTTTTCTGAATCCGAAATCAGCGCAATGTGGTCTCTACCCTCCCAGGTACCAATTCGTACCCCTGGGTGGAGAGAGATAAAAGTGTCTTGCCCAAAGACACAAGCACCACGTTCCCCGTCAGGGTTCGAACCCGGTGACCATGACACATGGGTCGAACACCGCAACCATCGGACCACTGCGCTCTAGCTTCAAATTACTTTGGTGTATTTCCATAATGTTTTAACCTTCACTTTGTACAAACCCCACAGGATGACACTTTATCTGCTCTTGACAGTCATGTTGCCCATCACGTGTTCATGAATGCAATACTTGGTCTTCTGCGCATGGAGAAGAGAACTGCAGTGTTGGTTTCTACAGACGGAAAGTACCAAGAATTCGCCGACAAGGTGAGACCATTATTCCTTCTATGGCCGCGTCCGAGTTACTGGCTACGGCTGGAAATAACACACGGGTCTATGGCCAAAAAAAGTCTCCGGTTTCTGGTATGCGCGCGCGTCGCCGTAGCCATGCGCGTCGGCAAAATGAAACAGTTTTTTTTTTCAATGAAAGATGATGTCTCAAAACCGCCAAACTCACTAGTTTGACTGGAATCCTGCTGCAAGGGCGGATCCAGGGGGGGGGGGGGGGCCCAAAAAAAAACGAAACCAATTTTTTTTATATGTGACATCGCAATAAAGGCAGGCAATTAGTACACCACCATCTTTTCCTAAAAAAAACATTGGTTAAAGTGGTCAGAAATTGCCTCAGATCGCACCACAGAGCATCTAGAATCCAAAAAAAATTCCGGGCCCTTAAGCGGGCCCCGAACCCCACGCCGTAATTTTTTTGACCCACTTTTTGGGGGGACCACAAATTTTTTTGGCCCCCCCCCAAAAAATTGTGTTCTGGATCCGCCCTTGTCCTGCTGCTGCACAATTTTAACGTGTTTTTAGATTGGGTTATGGTCGAGAATAAGCTTTATGTGGCCTCTCTGGACTCCCATATATTTGCACTAAGTTTAGTCGGGCACCATTTGCAGTCATCAGCCGACATTTGAAGCAAAAAAATCAGGTAAAAAAAAAAAAAAGCCGCGTCGCCGCACCCTTTTTGGGGCAAGCTCCATACCAGAAACCGTAGACTTTTTTTGGGCCTATAGGAAGTGGCTCAAGTCTGTACAGGAAGCCCATGTAGACAATGTTTATTTTGTTCATGCATGGCGCGTCTAAACGGACTGCTCCACTCAAATGTTTATAAGAAGGCCGCACACAATTCGTAGCCTTGTCTTTGCATTGAAAGGTAAATTATTTGCCAACTTATACATGATAAGACGAGGCACATCGCAAATGAATAACCAAATTTAAGTATACTAGTTTTGCGTTAACAGACTGAATGTTGTGCATTGGAGCCTGCTCCGTATTACTCTCCAGTCATTAGCTGTTATGTTGCCCTGTTATGAAAGCCATTTGAAGCCTGCATAAAATACTTACCTTTAAATTTTTTTCTTGTAATTTTTGTTGTTTTACATTTTCAAGGTTGTAACAATACAGAGAGGCGTCATAGTCCACGAGAAGGTCTCACCCGAGTTGGATGAAACGCTTCAACGGAGAATACCTTCAATTCTTACAGACCCATTGGCGCATACTGAACGGCAAGAACAAGTAAAACAAACATCTACGAATACTGAAAACAAGAAAGGTACACAATTCAATCTTTTTAAACACTGGCCAGAAATATTGAAAATTCCATTAGCAAAAAGCGTCGCAATTTTTCGGCCTTTGGATAACTTTGAAGGGAAAGTCGCGTCCTCTAACTTTCATAAATTTAAGATATTTATCATTTCTGATCATCTATATCTTTCAAATCCCATGTGTCTCTTAGATATCTTCTTATTTAGTACAAGTGCTATGTTACGTTTGCCCATTAGGCCTATTGGGATTAATTAAAAAATATTACAACTTTGCAATAGTTATCACCATCATTACAGATGCATACCCCATTCTCTTAAAAACATTATAGTTTCTCCTAACTAATTCTTAATTTGTATTTTTTGTTTTAACGAAAAATTACTTTATTCAGATGTGGGCGTCTGCAACCCTCTGAAAAGGGCTTTGATTCATTTAATGCACAAAGTAACCCGCCCTGCGAGTCTGGTAGTCAATAATTCGAATTTTGTGAAGAAATATAATTCAATAGCTAAACGTAGGTGGATTGTTTTGATTCATTGTCTCATTCAAAAGTGCTAGAAAAATAGCAATTGAAATATATCACGGGGAGACATCTTTAAGCATGTATGAATGATACATCCAAATTTTGGTCTTAATATTATGTACATCAGTCTGAGTTCAAGTCTGTGGCGATAAACTGATTCAGGTTTTCTGTTTTATTCAGAGAAAGCCAAAAGTGTTTGTCATTACGCCAGTCTGCCAGTTTGTTTTACTTTTGGCATCACATGCCGTTCACATTATACAGATGGGGTTAATGCACACGTAGGACGGCTTATTGACGAGGAGGAGAAGGCAAGTGGTTCAATATCCCCGCACGTCTACATCTTCTACTTCAAGATCATGGGAGTTGCTTTTGTTGTGGCAGTGATACTCAGCTACATCGGGAAGCAGGCCCTGACGACAGCCGCGGACTTCTGGTTGGCTGGATGGGCGGAGCACAATGTTACTCTGGTCAATGTAGGTTTACTGATTGAGTTGGAATCTGACAAGCAACGGGAGCTAAATACAAAAAAAAACCATAGTGGAGGCAAACAATTGCATTGACATTACGCTACCGTCGGGAAATGGATTCTTTCAAACAGCATTTTTGTTTTTTACCGGATTCCAAAACAAAGCGCTTTATCGACGCCACTCTGTATGGATTGCTATTTTACAGGATTCCTTTTCAGCCAACCAATCAAAACAGTTTTTCCTGATGCTTCACTTTGAAGTTTCGTAACGTCTTGCGTAGGACTTGCTCTATGTCGTGCACCTTGAAGCGTTTACCCATATAATTTTGTTTCTCTTTTTTTTCACGACAGTTCAAGTTCTACCACTTCCACAGTTTCAGAGACATTTCGAACGCGTGACATGCTCCTTATGTTTTAATATTATAATGAGCACTTCCAATTCTACGCACTTTACAATTATACACTAAATTCAATGAAGTACACTATAATAATAAGTGTTTTATGAGTGCTAGAATGAAGAGACCAAGATCATCACAAATGTCATTTAGGAAAATACCAAAGTAGGAAAAACCATACCATTTTAGCAAAATAACAGGATTGTAAGCTCAGATACATTATGATAGAAGTCTAACAGCGTAAAGCATACAGAAGATTAGAAAAGTTGGGATAATCAGATCCGTATGAACAATACTCAGTTCATATATACCAGTTCACGTTTTTCCCGATTCAATATTAGGACGACATCACTTTACACTACGTGCGTGGATATGCCTGGCTGACAATAGCAAATGTATTGGCACCAGGAGCCATCCTCTTGTGTATTGGAAGCACTCTAGCCAGCAAACGGATACACAAAGCTATGATCCAAAATATCTTCCGACTACCTGTAAGGTATTGAAGCCTCCATTCGATCTAATCATTCTGCATATAGATTTAGATGTAAATGTAGCATTGCCGGATCCGGGTCGGGGGGGGGGGGGGGTCATCCCCTCCCCAATATTTGTTTCTAATCGGAGGAGTGAAGACACCTTTTTCTCTTAAATGTCAGGAAATTACCTTAAAACGTTGCGTATCTCCCTCGCAAGCCATAAGCTACACACACCGTTTAGTTTTAATATTACAATGTGGAAATAACGCATGATACCATATACTTAATCGCCTTCCCCTTTTTGAATAAAAAAAAATGTACTCGAGCCCTCTTGGCCCCCCCCCCCGAAAAAAATTGGTTCTGGATCCGCCCTTGTTGTAATGTAGTTATTTCCTTTACCAAAATGGTGCCTATTAATAGGGAGACATTCCCATAGACTTGTGCCCAAACAAAAATCGTCACTAAAACGTTCCCCAACCAAAACTCTCTAATAATACATTGGTATAATTATGACGTTTGTCATTTTAGAGCGCCAAATTATAATTAAAGAGATAGCATATAATGTTATACATTTCAGGCCTGCTCTTACAAAGTTTCTTACAAAGTTTCTATATATTAATGCATTTTCCAGGTTTTTTGACATCAATCCTGTCGGCCGAATTCTAAATAGACTATCGACCGATACCTACAGGGTAGATATGGTAAGATTTGTTACTTTTGAAAAACATGTTATTGTCACATTAACGTTATACGTTGTAGTTTGCATCTGTAACCAGGTTGTCCCTATATTTGACCCCTTTTATTACCGATTCAATCAGGAATCAGACTTTGACATTTATTACATAATACTGTTAATTTTATCTTTTCGTTATTTATGAAAAATCCTTGAATTTTTGCTTGCGCCACAAGTGTAGCCCTATGTTATGAATATTTGGTATTGTATGAAACTCCCCCTCAGTTTACTATTTCTTATTTTCTTATTTCTTATTTATTCTACTATTCGAACCACAATCTTTGTCGAACGATCGTTAGTATCCAAGTATAGTCGATGTGAGTAAAATTCTTGAGTACAATCAGATGCTAATTTATTTGTTTAATTTTTCTTTTTTCCCCAGAAAATTCAGTTTACCTGGATGAATATACTAACATTCACCACCGCTTGTGCTGTCAAGATTGCTACAATCGTCGCTATCCTTCCAGGCTTCACGGTCCTGTTGGTCCCAATGGCGATATTGATATTCTGGGTTCAGAAACGATTCATTACTGTATCAAGGTACTTCCCTTGCGTCTTTTTGATGAAAGAAACCCAAGACAGGCGCGCTGGGTATATTATAGACAGATAGGCAGATAGATGTATACATGGTTTATTTGTTTCTTAGGACAAGATTTGGCAATCACAAATTGAATTGCATCAAGTCGAGACCGGTAATAAATCTCGTGCACAGTGCTTATAAATACATCCAAATAAAATAAAAGTAACCAAATGCAAATAATAGCAATTACCCAGATGTCGACTCCCTAACAAAAGTTGTTTGTCCCAGCTTCAGGCCCAAAAGTACCAGTAAATTGCAAATCCTAAACTTCATTACTTAATATTTTCAATAAGAAGGCTAAAAACAAATGTCATTTGGTATCCACTATATGGGCATGGGTTTGCAAGTGGACAATTTACGACAACTTTTTTTTTCTGAAAGATATATTTCCCGTGCTTTTTTCAAATTTCACCTAGAAAACTGCATTTTTTTCACCAATTGTACAATTTCTTAGCGATATAAAAGTTATTCACTTTCGAATGAGGCACCCGACAAAAAAAAATCTACCGACTTTTAGTTAGTGAATTATCTCCTCTCAAAATTCGAATTATAAGGCTGCCAGACAATAATTAGGCTCTCACAGGGCGGGTGGTTTGTGTACAGAATAAAAACCTTTTGTTTAGAGGGTTGCAGACGCCCAAAATCAGAATAAAGTACTTTTCTTCGTTTAAACATAATATACAAATTGAAATATCGTAAGGAGAAAAAAAAATCCATTTTTTGAAAGGCATGGGATGGATCTCTTACTCAATTGTTTGCCTTTGCCTTTCGCACACGGTAAATTTCGTTATACGTGTATATTGTGCCTAAATTACTGGGTGCATGTGTAATATTATTGTCTTCTCCTGCATTACAGTGAAATCAATTTGTATTGGTTTTATTAATTACTGAACAGAGAATTGGAGAGACAGTTCAGTACCTCCCGATCACCTATCTACGCTGATTTGTCTGAAATGTTGAATGGGACTACGACCATTCGAGCATATAGGTAGGTTTCATTGTGTGTCTCAAGGATTCATCAACTGATATTCATGGTTGTTGCACTCTTGTCAAATCGCTTAAGGTCGTCAATGTGTTTTGATTTTCCTCTCAAAATGTAACAGATTTCGTAAAAAAGTAGCCGACCACCCAAATTTCGTCAATTCTATAATCCATTCGTTTAAAATCATTAAGTAACGACTTGCAGCTCCACACTGAGTATAGTTGACTGACATTTGACATTTTCAGACATCAAGAGAGATTTTGCAAGAGGCTTCGACATCACATAGATGTAAGCAATACCAGTCGCTTGTACCTTGAAGCTACACAACGATGGTCATTAACAAGGCTCGTGAGTAACTCTGTTACCATTTCAATTCAGTAACATTCTTTTTCACAAATCATGCAAGAATAATTTGCTGTTCATTATTGGCTTCACAATATTAAAGATGCACATTCGGCTTGATTTCACCAACTTCAATGTTTTAGATTTAGTTGTTTATTTATCTTCTTTAAAAGGTAAATACATATAGATTATTGTCTTACATGTACGGAGAAAACATAAAACCGCCGTTGTTTACATCGGACACGGCAGCGGTTTTTGGCCTTGTCTGGACCCATTCCCTTTATCGAATTCAAAATATCAACAAATGACTGGCGCCTCCTTAATGAATGTGACAATTCCGAGTGATTTTGAGGATCAACACTATATCTTTGTACTAAACTATCTGTGCGCGGTAATTACTTAATGTAATTAATCAGCGAGCGGTGGGTAGAGGGTTGGTGTTGCAACGTCATGTTTATCCACCGACTAGTTGTAAAATGGGGCCAAAAATAATAAATGGATTGCTAAATTAAGTTCCTGCATTTATTCTCTAATTGCCTTAGAATGCAACAGAAGTCGGTAGACGCATTTTTGAGCCCAACATATACTCTCTTTCCCTTGAAAGTATTCTCCTTTAATAGAGTTAATGTGAAATGGCTGAACAATCTAAAGTGTGAACTGACTTCAAAGAGGATAACATGGAACCAAAATAAGTTTGGAACCAAATATAGTTTGTAGGTTTTTTTTTTACTGTTTGAAGATTTTTTCCCCAATAATTTAAGACAATTTATTTCTCATATATTCTTTCTTCCAGGATGGCCTGTCTTCGGTTATAGTATTCGGTGTTACTCTGGTCTCGTTAGTTGCCTTTTTGCTAGGCGGCCTCAGCAGCAGTTTAACAGGACTTTGTGTCGTCTACTCAATCCAGGTATTACGTTAGGGTGCAAAATTAATATATAATCAATTTAGGCCTACACAACTTTTGTTTCTTCTAATTTTCCAAGATAAACCCTCGTCCATTTTGTACAAGCCATAATGTTTCCCTAACAAGTTTCCTCTGCTTATTTGAAAAACCATCTTCCAAAAAAAACCACGAAATCATCCCACTGTGTTCAATTGACTTAATATACTTCCTTACTCAATTTTGTTACACAATATAGGCCTACATTAATTCCACCATCCACTTAAAGATGTCCAGGCTAGACGTTGTTTTGATTGATATATCTCCATTGATCACTTAAAGCCATGGTCATTTGCTTTTCATGCATTTTGTTCGTTTCCAATAATAACACCAATACAATCCAAAGAAAAATGTTAAAAAACTAACCTGTGGAAGTTTCAGCTCAGTGGATATCGAACTTTTCCAGAAAATAATGAAAAAAAACCCCAACCTTTTGATCACGAAACACGATTTCGTCTATAGCAATCTGTATTTAGAACAAAAAAAAATAGGCGATGACTGATCGTTGGAAATGATTTCTTCGAAAATGACACCAATGCAGGCGGATTATTTCACAGGGTATTTAGTATCGATACGAGCCAAGTAAGCTTTTTGATAACAATTCGGTAAGTTACTTTTGGCATAAATGCAAATGATCCTTTTTGCCTTTAAACTTTCTTTCCACAGTCGACATCCAATTTGCAAAGTTTGGCTCGTGCAGTATCGGACTGTGAGCTATTCATGAATGCAGTGGAACGCATTATGCACTACGCCAAACTACCAACGGAATCCTATGAAGGTATCTGTTACTTTCTATTTACAGTGTCTCGTCTTGCTTAGCTACTGTCAACCTGTTGCTACTACACTGTAAACCTTTTATAAATTGTTATAAAAGATTTTTGAAACAGTTTATAAACATTTAGCACGTTTAACGAGAGAGGGGGATTTACTATATTAAAAATCCTATGGGTTTAAATTTTGAGTCAGCTCCATTACTCAGATATCCACGCACCAAAACAAAGCCTCAGACAGCCGGGTTTACTTTTGCTGCTGCTTGTAATTTAAAGTTGACTTTCACGCAGGAAAAGAAATATTAAACATTCCTTAATTGTGTTATTGTAAACGCCTCGTGAACGGCGCTGTTTAGGAATACTAAACATCTCGTACAACTTGTAAACAGTTCCTTACTTCCTAAGCAGCGCCGTTCACGAGACGGCGATCAGAATGTTTAAACTTTGTTTTCCTGAAATGAAATTTCACTTGATCTCGTTTCTGATTTTTTCTTCTATACACAAAGGGAAAAGGCCAAAAAATTGGCCTGGATGTGGAGATATTATGATTAATAACGTGTCAGCCAGATATGCTGATGACTTGGAACCAGTCTTGCGCAATATCACCGTGGACATCAAGTCAGGACAAAAGGTTTGGTAGTAGCAATTGTTTTGTTTTGATCAGTGCTCAAGTTTGGTTCCTGATGTGGTCTACCAACTGCACATAATTGTTTGACATAGTAATAATAATGCTTACCTGTATGGATTGTTTCTTCCATTTTGCACCCAGACATCAAGTTTTATTTTGCAAAACTTAGGCCCTACTCTCATAAAATATTTTCTCAATTTATTCCGCAGAGATATGCTCAGGTTATACAATAATGCAATAAATATGAATTGATAATTTTCCTCAATTCTTAATCTTTTGTATATAGATCGGCGTATGCGGACGTACTGGAAGTGGCAAATCATCTCTTATGTTGACACTTTTTCGATGCTTAGATGTATTTGAAGGTAAAGTTAATGTAAACAATAACGAATAAACAATGAATATGTATATAATTAAAGGGAATATACAACATTTGCAAACATCGAAAAATAAAACTACAAAGTTTTTACGAAATACCTTACTAGGACGTTGGTAAATGACAGTCTAAAGCATCCTGTAAAATTATGGCACTTGGTGTGCAGTCATTTTCAAGAAAAATGTATTTTTGTAAAAATTTCCAGCAATGGTCAGCCGACCACCGTTGGAAAAACATAACTATTTTTCAACTACTGCTCCAAATTTACCATTAATTTAGTCAACATTTTGTTTGCTATTTGTTACATGTTCATGAACGGGTGCAGGCCAGCTAGACTGGTACCCTTACCTTACAATTTTCCGGCATCTGTAAATTGATTCATTTTATATTTAGTGGAGTCAGGGAACCAGACTACTTGAACAGTTTTGTTTTTCTTGGTTTTTCCAGCAGTTTCGAACACAAAACGTCAAACATGTCAGTGTAACAATATTTGATCTATTATACTAACCCCTCAAATAGTTCATTTCTGAAAATTACAGCAAAGGTCAATGATGTATATTCCCTTTAATATGAATATAATGATGAACATGTCTCAATCAAGATGCTAGTTTACTGTTGCAAATTAATACGGTTATAAATAATACATACATACTTGTAAAATAAGACAAGTAATCAGTAATAACATCAATAACACTCAGCACGTGTCTTTTAAGACATTCCCACGTGTCCCAATGATATGCTAAGTATATTCACGGAGGCCAATGGCAATGCCAGCACTGTGCAAAGCAACTGCCCGTTATTTGATATAATGCATTAAAAAACTGAGGAAACCTATTTTATGCATATTATATAGAGTTACAATCCAAGCTATGTTTCATCCCTTACAGGACAAATCTTTATAGATGGTATTGACATTTCAGCTGTTCATCTCACTACACTACGCCAACGTCTATCCATTATCCCACAGGATCCAATTCTCTTTAGTGGCTCCATCAGGTAGGCCTATGTCATCATTGGCATTATTATGATATATTGCTTAAACGATTTCTGCTATTCTAGTAGGTTAATAATGAGTCTTTCTGGTGTCGTGCACAAGACTGTATAACGTTCGACAATGTAATCCAATGCAGAAGTATGCCAGTGACAGAGATTGGGTTAAGCGCCGCAATCTGATGAGGATGACGTTGTATAGCTTCGATGTTAAGCCCTTTACCTTGAAAAATATGGTCTGGACGAACTGGAGGACATTAGATTAAAGCATTTTCAGTTTGTAATGAGCAGTTTTATCGTAGCACGCAGTTACTAGTTTTATTATTATATTGTAGTAGTTTTTGGTCAAATCGGCTTCCTTTATTCCATGAAAAACAAAATTATGGATTGCTTTATTTGCGTATTTAGTATACAACAATAGGTATGAGATAGAGAGAAGAAACCTGACGTTTTCAATACATATATTTTACTTTCCTTTTAAGGAGCAATTTGGATCCCGAGGGGACTTACACGGACGATAAGGACATTTGGCACGCGTTGGAATTGGCCCAGCTCAAAACCTTATGCCAAGCCTCGAAGAAAGGATTAGGTAATAAAGTGCTGTTCCCTGACGTGGCGCACTTCGACATTTACCCCGACTTTCCACATCAGTGTTGCCAAACTTCTTTGTTGACAAACTTCAAACTCATTCAGTAAAATACTGGTACATTTACCTTATTAATGCTTGCTATTTAACCTCTGTGAACAATTTAAGTTTCATGAAATTCAATCCGAAATTCAAAAACGGTGGTGTCCGGATATTGGGCACAAATCGGCTGAGTGTTCCACAACGTGGCGCACTTGCATAAATCTTGAAAAATTCCAAATTAACATTAAGAATTTCTGTAAAGTTGATAAATTCTGATAAACAGTTATTATCTCTACCTACATACCCAACTAGAAGTTTGTTAGCAAATTATTTTCTATTTTTTGGGGGGACATTTTCAAAGGGTTCACTGTGCACTTCGAAATGAAATCGGAAAATCACGCCGAAGTATTTTTTTCTTTTTACTTTGTAATATTGGCGTTGGCGCACGGAGCCCATACCCGTTCTCTTTCGGTATGTTATTTATGTCGACATAGAGCGTTTAATTTACCATCTTATCTATTGCATCTTACAGATACAGAGGTACGAGAGGGTGGGAGCAATTTTAGTGTTGGACAGAGACAACTCTTCTGTCTTGCCCGTGCCATATTGCGAAAGTCAACCATACTAGTCTTGGATGAGGCTACAGCGTCTATCGACCTTGAAACGGTACAAAAATATGCTTGATTTTACTTTTTATCGCGGCAATTTCAGTCTTATTGTCGGCAACTCATGTCTTCTAAGTCTTGAGAGGTTCTTCACTTAACTTCAGTTATTGTCATCAACAAAGTGGGCAAGTCGGATCCAGATCACAATTTTGGGGGGCCGAACAAATTTTGGTCCCCCCCCCAAAAAAAAAGGGTCCCAAAAATTATGGCGTGGGGTGCGGGGCCCGCTCAAGGACCCCTAATTTTCTGGGATTCTAGATGCTCTGTGGTGCGATTTGAGGCAATTTCTGACCACTTTGACCAAATCTTTTTTAGGCTAGGAAAAGATGGTGGTACGGTATACGCAGTGCCTGCCTTTTTTGCGACGTTACTTAAAGAAAAAAATTGTTTCTGTTTTTTTCCCGGGGGGGGGGGGGGGCATGGCCCACGTTGCCCCCATGGCTCCACCCTTGAAAGTGGGGCGGGTAATGTCATGACTCCTTGGGGCTCTCTTCATCGAGGATGAGACTATCTATGTCATCTGACTTGAGGTGGCGCTGTTCGTGAGAGTGGAGAGTGCTGCAGGTACATAGGGCACAGACGCCATAAAGAGAAAACAATCGCGTACACATTATGACGTACGTGGCATATAGGGGCCCCGCTCACCTCGGTCCCATGGTGTCAAGCAGTACGATCTCACTTAAATAATAGTAAGCAGTTAAGAGAGATGGGGGCCCGGTCCTTTAGATCCGCCACTGTGTGATTGTGCTTTATTGATCATTATTTTTAAAATCCAGGTCAGGTTTATTCAAGTGACTCACCAAGGACATTTCTAATGACTCCATTTTTTCCTCGAAAATTCTTGGAGGCTTAAAGCAACACACAGCTGAGAAATAACAAGTGCAATTTTCAAATACATGTGCCGATGAAATACGACCATCCATTCACATAGCATTGAACAACCATAAACATTTTTTTAAATCACAGGACCAAGTACTGCAGCGTGTAATTTCCGCTGCATTTTCAGGCAAGACAGTTATAACCGTTGCAGTAAGTATTTATTTTTTAAAGACTTACCCAACGTTTCTTCTCTTTAATTCATGCTGCCGAATGCCAAAATGTATTATCGGATAGGGCCTAGTACACAGAGTCTTCACTCTCCGGGTAGTGATCTCATCGAAACATTAATGTGGCATAATTATGATGTATGACTCTGTAAAGGAAAGAATAGATTGCTACGCACGTGTTTTGTTGTCATACCAGAGCAGATCATGTAATCATCCTCCATCTGCTCATGTTCCTGTACTCATTCGTTTCCTTTGATCCACTCCTTAGCATCGTTTGGACACCATTCTGAAGTCGGACAAGATCATTGTCATTAGTGGAGGTAGATTGGTGGACCAAGGCTTACCGCAGGATCTGCTCAGCCAACCAAATACGGAGTTCTCAAAGCTTATCCAATCCGCCTCGATTGACAGTAAAAAGTAAAACGATTACTAAGGGAATAAAATGTGCGTGGCCGGTTAGAAACAAGCAATTTTTAATCTGGCTTTATAGGCGCCTGGTCGCTGATAATTCGGGCCGACGGCCAAGCACTTATTCCCATTCGTAAAATATCTTTCGGTAAGAAAGTCAAAACAAGTCAAAATTATACATTTCTAACTATTTTGTTCAACAGTTTTACTTCCTGTTTTTTAAAACACCCCTCCAACTATGTTTATGGTAGGCCTATGCCCGAGTAATACTAAAAATCTCCTTTTTATTTTTTATTGCTACTTTTTAACTGACTAGTTAACTTTTTTGTAGTTTTGATATATTTCTAAAGCGTTTTGAAATTTTAGTGTAAAACGCTATATTATTTAAGTGTAAAATATTATTATTATTGGCGCGCTCGAACACAGCAAACCCCGGAAAAGTTTCATCCAGTCAACCGTTTAAAACCGCGCACGTGACGGGCTCTCGACTAATAGGAATGGGTAAACTGTCTTAGAGAGTTCTGAATGTCTATTTCAATCATTTTTTTTCCAAATCATCTTCTTTATGCTGGGTTTGTATTGTCGATTTCGAGGGCACAAAATTAGGGATACATGTATTGGACCGATCAGAAGACTGAATTAATACCAACCCGCCTGCCGTAATCAATCGCAAGGGGCGGGGGATCGCGGGATCGCGGCCGGTGTGGCCGAATTTTCGTCCCCCGTACCAACCGACCGCGGGTGACAGAATATTCATATCCGGACCGTATTCTGTTCCCAATTATCGGATATTATTTCTGACCTCCATTTTAAAGTCAAGTACTGGCCATGCCCAACTGTTGTTTGAGATTTTACAACTTCTAGTTAAATAAAAGAGAATAATTGCGACAGGTCTATTTTTGTGCCATTAATTCTTGTGTGTGACATTGTATTGGATGATAATAGGCCTATAATGCCCGGCAGAAGGGCACGATATGTGCATGCTCTTATGAGCGAAAGCGTAATCACCAAAATGTTCCCTGCAACTGGGCATTTGCAGAAAACTGCCTCTATTTTAATAAAATTTCAATATTTTCGGCACAAATTAATACAAGTAGTTCTAAAACTTATATTTTATACGGGTGACAACTTTCAAATTCGTACGATTTATGTAACGTGTGGGAGAACATTGGATTTTTTTTTTTTACGTCAGAACGCTCATATAGGCCATCAGCCTGGGGTTTGGTCAGTATCAAATCAGGGCATAAATGATTATAGTGCGCATGCGCAAAGTATACCGCCCCTAGAGTGGTACTAGCATTTTGATGGACAATTTGAAAAACAGGGTGATACCACACAAAAAGCTGCCACTGCTGCAATGCTATCACATATTTTCCAACTCTGGAGGTGTATACCTTGCCAAAAATCGCTATGACGATTATTCCCCTCATTTGATACCGGTGGCCAACATTTTGGACAGAGGCTGATGGCCGAATATGCCATTCTGCCGGGCACCCGACTGGTTTCGAAATACCCGCATTGCCTATCGCTGTTGTTGATTGAATATAGCAAGAATATGATTACAATGTTGATATGATCACGATTAAATACAACAAATCTGTTCCTTGCTCTATGGTACAAAACAAACGTAAAAACCCGCATCCGCTTGGCTTTCCTAAACAGTGAGTGTCGTCTGCTAAATTTCTTCACAAATGAACATAAGAGGGCGCGCTACATACCGGAAGACGCTAATTGTTGTCTGGTCACCCATTGTTCCATACGGAATCCTAATACATAGCGCGTACGGAGCCAGACTCATTTTCTACTGCGTGTGTGTGTGTGTATTCACGAATACGTGGCCGATTTGACGTGCAGTGGGCGCCGCCGACATGTCGGATTTCTTGGTTTCTCCTGACGGCATGACCCCAATCGTTGATGAAGACCCTCCATCTTCAGCAAAGGAGAGTTCAGCGCAAAATGACGGACAAGATGTGGAATCTCAGTGGGGATTCTGTTTACCAGAACTGTACAAACTTTCCTTAACTTTTTTCAAAGGTAAGCAGACGAGCTGATTTTTATGAAGAAAGAAGGGAAAGGGTTGGTAATTCCGACAGGCACGGTAAATTATTTAATATAAAACATTAATTAAGTCGTTCATTGTCGATGTAACATTAAATTCAAGGAAGAAATTAAGTATCCAGATGCGGAGCAACTACAAAATGCAGGGCCACGCCGGAAAAGTTTTTTGGGGGGTAGGCCTAAATTGTATTGTGTAGTTTTGGATGCGATGTGCAGGAATGTGACTGTGTGAGGAGTTACTCCTAGAACTATGAGGCTCCACGTAGTGGAGCCTCATAGAGTCAGAAGCCCGCAAAATTGTTGTCAACACAAAACACTAATTAAGTACAAAAACGTCCATTCCAAATAAGCTATTTCCCACAGAACCGCTGCACAGTTTGCCCCTAAACTCCGTACAATACCTCATGACATACTCACGTTATGTGCACCCAACAAACATCGGTGGATTCTGTCTGTTTTTAGGCCAAAACGATGAAAAATATGCCCTTTCCGCACTGAGCCAACCTAACACTTGAAGCGAGCACGCGCGCTGATATCGCAGTCATTTTCGGGTTCGATCGCTCGGAGCGCGCCGCGGGGGTACGTACTTGCACTTGTACGCATGCGCATACTATCAATCCGCTCCTACACCATACCCCCCGCGGCGCGCTCCGAGCGATCGAACCCGAAAATGACTGCGATATCAGCGCGCATGCTCGCTTCAAGTGTTAGGTTAGCTCAGTGCGGAAAGGGCATATTTTTCATCATTTTGGCCTAAAAACAGACAGAATCCACCGATGTTTGTTGGGTGCACATAACGTGAGTATGTCATGAGGTATTGTACGGAGTTTAGGGGCAAACTGTGCAGCGGTTCTGTGGGAAATAGCTTATTTGAAATGGACGTTTTTGTACTTAATTAGTGTTTTGTGTTGACAACAATTTTGCGGGCTTCTGACTCTATGAGGCTCCACTACGTGGAGCCTCATAGTTCTAGGAGTAGTGAGGAGTGGGGTTGTTGTTTACTCCTAGCATGCCTAGAATAGAAGTAAAATTGTTGTCAGCTCAAAACCCTAATGGTGGTAATCCTTATCTTTAGGACACCTCTATTTTTACGAGTTCTGTTCAAAACTGACTTTTGCAGTTGACTGTCCAGTACCAAAGTGACTTTTGCAGGCTAAAGCAGTCTGTTTTCCTCAGATAAACTCATGTTAGTTGTCATTTTGAAAGCACTTTCAAAGAAAATGTGACTTTTCTGCCTTTTTTTTGCAGTTTGCCATCTTGCTATTTAAATATATTTTCTGTTTGCCATCGTCGTCTTTAGATAGTGGATATTTTGCCGGAGGTAATGACGGCAAACTAACGATTACTAAAGGTTTGCCGGCGGCAATCCATATCAACAGAGGGCGCTGTACTCTTTAAAATAGGGCTGAATTATAAGATGTATTAAATTCCCACCAAACGTTGTGTAGCACGTTTGGTGTAATGGTTAAGCAAAGGCTCCAGCATTTGTCCAGTAAGCGGGATGACTCGCGTTCGATTCCGATTGCACCACATTTTAAAGTTTTTTTTTCTCATCCCAAATAAATAAGAATATTCTTCTTTTATTATTTTAACATGTCTCAAACATTTTTTGCAGAGTACATTGTATTACATTTTCTTTTTTCAGATTTGTGGCTCTGGAGGATTTTTTTTAAAAGGGAAATAAAGCCCAAAATTATAAAATGGTCTGAATCCCATCTTGTGAATACGAGGTAACAACGATAATTTTGGCATGGAGCCAGACTAAAACTTGTCACCGGAAAATGGTTCAAGTACAAAAAAACAGTAACTGCGCATGTTCAGTGCATATCCGGCAAACTAACGTTTACTAAAGGTTTGCCGTCTCCGGCAAAATATACACTGCCTCGTCTTTAACCCCTCATAAATCAAAGCCCTGCCCTCTTTTTACAAAATTTAACCTGCTGATATTCAAGAAGTTGTCATTGCCAACTGTTCAAATGTGTCAAGAAACATCAGAATGTCACTTTTCAGTGTCATTTAGTCAGCTGTTTTGGTGAGTCTTTTAACCTTATATAGGTACGGGGTCCTAAAAGTAAGGATTACCACACTAATTAAGTACAAAAACGTCCATCCCAACCAAGCTATTTCCCACAGAACCGCTGCACAGTTTGCCCCTAAACTCCTTACAATACCTCATGACATACTCACGTTATGTGCACCCCACAAACATCGGTGGATTCTGTCGGTTTTTCGGCAAAAATGATGAAAATATGCCCTTTCCGCACTGAGACAACCTGACACTTGAAACGTGCACGCGCGCAGAATGATCGCAGTCATTTTCGGGTTCGATCGCTCGGAGCGCGCCGCGGGGGGTACGTACTTGCACTTGTACGCATGCGTTTGACTGTCCAGTACCAAAGTGACTTTTGCAGGCTAAAGCAGTCTTTTTTCTTCATATAAACTCATGTTAGTTGTAATTTTGAAAGCACTTTCAAAGAAAATGTGACTTTCCTACCTTTTTTCGCAGTCAGATGTGCATGTTGTAGTTCTCACACGCGTGAAAGCCCTACATAATGAAAGCCCGATGCTGATTGGCTGCTACAAAAATAAACAAGATGTTCATTTTTTTTATCAGCCAATAAGCATCAAGCTTTCATCGCATCGAGCTTTCACGTTTGCCACCTTGGTTTTTGAGTCTGTTTTCTGGTTGTCTTCGTCGTCTTTTACCCCTGAATTTCCCTCATAAATCAAAGCCCTGCCCTCTTTCCACAAAATTAAACCTGCTGACAGTGATAGTCAAGAAGGTGTCATTGCCAATTGTTAAGTGTGCCAAGAAATATCATAATGTCAATTTTGAGTGTCATTTTATAGTCAACTGTTTTGGTGAGTCTTTCCCTTCCTATATAGGGACGGGGTCCTAAAAGTAAGGATTACCACTTTATGGCTTTTGGAAATGCCCTTTGCATGCTTTGATAGACAAAATACCTTTGTCTGAAATTCCACTTTCTGAAACACAAATCCACCAAAAAAGTTGAGCTGGTTGATCTATAACTCCAGGGTTCTCCCCATGTACAAACCTGCATATCGGCCCGATACGCTGGAATTGCGGCCCGATACACCGACAAAAATGCCGATCACATTTTTCAGCCCCCGATACGCACAATATAATTATTATACAAGCCATTAAAATGCACAACATAATACGCCATACACTGTTTTATACGCCATTATTTCATCTTGACATGCAAAATCTTGACAAAAATCCCGTTTTTCTGATGCATGTGTGATCAAAATGCACCGATGACGTGTCTTTCGCGTCGACCGCCAGGACCCAGCTATATATTAGCGCATACAGCATGGTACACTGGTTCCCTCCGCGTGCTAACAGTATTAATGCTATGATGAAGGACCGGAACCAGTGACTACTGCCTCGTGCGTGCATACATGATGATGATGTCGGCCGAAGTTGGATCATAAAAGCACCAAACAGACATCGATGGAGAAAGATAATTTTTGCAAATTAATTCACAGAATGTGATCTTTATTTTCTGTGTATGTGTTTTCCATTAAAATGACGAGATTGCAAAGCTCGAACTTGTGGCGAAACATCGTAGCATGCTTCTTAGAAGCAGTAGTACAAAATTTTCGGCCACATGGGATGGGCCGTACACAGTGCAGTAATGCACACTGATACTGCGCCGTGTACACGGCGCAATGTACGACCGGCCAGACTGAATGTTGACGGCGCCAGGGGCCGTGATGTACGTTAAGCATATAGTGGAATCAACCACCTCAAATATATTTTTAATTAGGTGAGGCAAGTTTTAATCACTTTTGATGGTCGGTCTTGATAATTTTCGTGGTGCAAAGGAAAATAATCCAGGCACAAAACTAAATGATTTTTTGTTCAATATGCTCCATTCAATCACGTGTTTTTATTTCTCCATGATTCAATCGGCAGCCAAAAAAATTGGCGAAATAATTTTTTCGACCTACAGACGCTATTTTGAAAGGCATGTAATCAGAAGCAAAATTGATTTTTTTTCTTCACCTTAATTTCTTAATTTGAAACTTGCTTGTACATACTTTCTAGATCAGGAAGTTTTAACACAGGTTTGGAAATGTTGATATTTTTTTAAAGTAAAACATTTTGATATTTGTTTATCTTTAATTACCAAAAATATCACAAGATCTCCTCTAAATTTTAAGGAAAAATCTTCCTCTATAGACTCCCCAGATTTGCTCTAAAATGCACCAGAGGGCCTCTAAAGTTCAAAATTTTTCGGGGCCCTTAAGCGGGCCCCGAACTCCACGCCCTGGCTTTGCAGGTTGGTGAATCACAACAAAACTTCCCCCACAGTTTTGAAAAAATCCTGGGGAGAACCCTGAACTCTGAAATGTTTTAGAACGATTGACATTTGGATCATGGGACAATTGTTTGGGTGGAAAATCTGAGTTTGTACTCACCAACCTCGCGTTGCCGATCCGTTGAAATACAGCGGTCATGGTCATGTGTGTTTACGTACGTTGAGCGTGCGCTGATCTTCGCGTGACCTCAGCAGGTCAACTCTACATTCCGCTCGACCATTTGGGATGGAGGGGAGATTGTATGCTTTGCATCGCAAAACAGTACATGTACATGTACATGTACATGTACATCATGATGTACATGTACGTTATTTTGGCGCACTGAATACACTGCGCTGTGTCGTTAGTTGTCAGTTTTGGTGGACTGTTTTTCAATTTGACAAAAAAAGGGATGAAAAGATCCATCAGTAAACAGTCCCCCCCCCCCTGCCCGAAGTCCGATGTCGGGATTTGGTCACATTTTTCAGGCCCCAGGGTGGGGATTTTGGTCACTCAAATTACATTGTTAACATTGGCGTACTAATGGAAAGGCAATCACTAGTGCGCCTCAGTCGCCCCATGTTTGTAAGTCGGGGCATGGTCGGGGATTGTCACTTAAATTGGTGGGGATTTTGTCACTTCAAAAGTGA